TCTGCTGAATTTAAATGATATAATTTGATTATCAAACTAGAGTCAGTACTGCAATCTACTGTTTGAAAATGTCTACATATAAAGAGTGCAGAAAGGAGCCAAACAATGTCAACAAAGTAATTGTTCCCGTCCACACTGCCTCCGATGTGTAAACGTATTCGGATTTCTTGCTGCGGAGGTTGTGTTTCATATTAGTACAATCTAGCAACTGATTAACTACCTGATTCAACAGCATCTTTGACTCCTTATCTAATTACAGGCCTGGTATTTACCACGGGAAGTACAGGCGGCTCTCATCAAGAGTCAGGTCTACAATCGACAGCGGCTTTCTAATTAGTAGGTTAATTGCTAGTCCAGGTTTTGATGAGATGTGGCCTCAGGATCTCCGCCGTTCTACTTGTTAAATAACTTGTGTCTGTTTATGGTTGAGCATTTATACAAGTAGTACTGCATTTCTATCTCTGTGGTTGTACTCACACGTCATGCTCGATTTCAGGCAAATATGAATTTTGGTTTCCTGCTAGAACGTTTATTTGCTTTAAAGTAAAACAAAAGAATCATTTTTCTCATGCTGTTGGTCTGAATATACCTGTTTTCACCCTCTGTGTCTTTAAGCCCCCCATCACAAATAAGGCCAGTCTGCTCTGATGGGCTTGTGAGAAAAATCATGTGCACCTCTGTAAAGGTTATCTTATTTCAGTTTGTGGGTTGGTAGGCACTCCATAAACCTAACTGTGCGTGCACAAGCACTGAAAAAGTGGGTTTTCCATGATATGCCCCTTTAAAAGGTGTACTCTGGGGAGTTTCAACCACAAATGGTGCTGTAAAGCAGGTCCTCATATCAAGTAATTAACCAGCATATGAGGACACTCATGCATACACAATGCTGCCATATGCAGAGAGTGGTAACAGTTGGTGGGAGCACTGCACTTTAAAAGGTAGCTGTGCTCCAATAAAAGAGTAGAAGAAGAAGAATGCCAGCTAATGTACACTGTTCCAAAAGTTACAAATACAATTCTGATGAACCTGAATGTGACAAATGGAGAGCCAAATCTGATTGGCTTGTTAAATCAAATGTTTTCTGATCTAGACAGCCAGTAAAAAATAAAAACAATTCCCCAGTTTGTAGGTTGTGAGGCACTTTAGACACTCAAATGTACTTGCGCATGATGTGTCCCCTTTAATCGGTTGGAAAATACACGCAGGTTGGTTTAACTGGGCTTCGGCGTCAAACATGTGTCCTGATGCACTTTGCAGGTATACGGGCTGTTCATGTCATATGTATCTCCCGGCAGAGATCTCCGATGGACATCCAGTAGAGGAATTAGCAGTGCTGAACTAGTAAATCATTATGTAACGGACAATCAATCAATGAATCCGTCAATAATGGGTGCGAAGTTGAATGACCTTAATAAAATTGAACAGTATGACGATTGATCGTTTCTAAATCTGGGTCACTGCCAAAGTAGACGGTATTTTCTCAGCTCTGGTCTGTACTCCAACACAATTTAGCTGTGTCCTAATTCAGGGACTGCAGCAGTTAAATGTGTTTACAACTAAATCAATGCAGCTGGTTGGCGAGTTATTTTTGCCAGCTTTGAGGGGGACCTTATATAAATCCTTATGTAGAGCTGGGCGATATGGCAAACCAATTCTTCCTGATATATATACTTTTGTTCTCGTCAGTTAATATCACTATATTCTTCAAGATTCACTGTAACTTATACTTCTCAAGTCGTATATCCAGAATCTAGTCAGATAAGCAAATTATACAAAAAGAAAGTTCTTATTCAATCTTGTCTAAACCCTGAGATATTGACAGCCAGGGTCAGTTATGTGCATCTGTAATGTTACAGTTTGTTTAATGGTGATGTTTCATGCGATGAACTTAGTTAATGTACATACATCATCGTCTAAGTTTCATGTCAGACATGAAGTAGCCTAGCCTTGCTTGGGGGGTGTTTCATCTTCGACGCCAAACGGGGCTATACTTTACCAAAGTGTCACTGATGTGTTGCTGCCTCATTATTCCACAACAGCTCCTTACATTTAAGCATTTTGTGAATGTTGAGTTGTCGCTGGCACAGCACAGAATGCAGTGAAAGCAGCTGCCTGCCAAAACCCACATACAACAACCCGTCACGATCGCTTTCACTTTCATGAAGGATGCCAGAGAGTTGGCATTTGTGCAATGTCGGAATAATCGCGAAAATGTAGTTTCCGTCTGGAAAAATTCACATGAACGCCCCCTCAAGTCGGAACAACTCCAGAACAGCTAATGTGTTGGTCTAGCAATAAATTGCAACACATCTTCTCTGTGGCGTCCATGTTGTTTCCACATTCTGACGTGAAGCTCGTGAACACGCCGAAGTTGAAAGAGTGACTTTACTACTCAGGAAATTGTCCGCCCTCTCTGAGTGCCATTCTATTGTTATTACAAATCGCCTCTAAATTGTTCCACTGGCAGTGAGTTTGTGCCCAGCGCCGACCTGCGGCTTTTCAATCCGTGCTCGCCGTCTTTCCAAAAGTGTTTGGTTAGCCTACTGCTGGCAAACAACAAACTGTGCTGCAGCTGACTATCTGATATTGAGTGCTGCAGATTGTGTGGCGCACATTCATTTCTTGCCAAAATCCCCCAAGTAATATGACTTGATGTATCATGATGTTCAGTCTGTTTCCAACAACATGGACAGCAGGTCAAACAAGCTATGCAGCTAACTAACTGTTTAACACACACACAGTGCCTATAAACTGTGCAGCTGTGCTGGAGTTAGTTTTAGGCCCTAATATTCTATTCATTTAAAAGAAAACAAATCTTAGGGTTTTGAAAGTTGTCATAAATGTTTCGCCTGCACTTTTAAATAATAATAATACATGTATAATTGCTATACATGATGGTGTGTTTCTCATGTCTTTGGTGCGTTGATGGGAGGAGAACATGAAGCAATGAATGTTTTAGATGAACTAATCTATCATCTCCAGCGTCTAACTATCCAACTTTTGGTACCAAATAGCTTTTCTTTCTCTGATGTGATTCGTTTCAAGTACATTATCAAGCAATGGAACTTATCAACGGTATATTGGAGTTTCTTATTCTCCTATTGAGGACATTTTCTGTTACAATTGTATCTTGTTTGGTTTAGATCTCACTGCTGATACATCCCTAATCAGATGTATCAGCAGTGAGATCACAGAATACTAATTATTCCCCATCAAAGACAAGTTACATGCGTTTGCTGAATTATACGTTGAGTAGGCCTGTAACAATAACGACCTCATCGACTCATCATACGGTATATGGACATGACCTCGATATTGCATGTTTGTTTACATAAGATGTGATTTATCTTGATAAGGACATATTATAATTTTCGCCAGTAGAGTCAGAGCACATCCCTTTTGATTGGTTGTGACTGCTGGTCTTATTTATCTGCGTAATTCTTCTTCTTCTTTTTTTAACTACTCAACTTGAAATATCTTTTTTAATCTGTTTATTATTTGTTTTGACAGCTGCACCTACAGATCAGGTTTGTTTCTGTTGTTGTTGTGATAACTCGCATATAAAAGTGCTGAGCTCTGCTATATCTGACAGATGTTGCTAATTGGCATCAAACAGACAATGACCCACCTAGTAATTGTGACTTTATCACTTCAAAGTCCGTTTTCATGACATTATATATGGTGTTGTTATTTTGTCTCTCTTTTACATTTTGGTATTTTGCAAACAGGTTTTCTATAATATCCATTCTTATCCAGAATGTGAATGTATGTATGTGTATATATAATAATGTGTGGGAGAGTAACAAACAGGGCATGACTTATTCATTGTCTGTGTGTGTGTCTGTGTGTGTGTGTGTGTGTGTGTGTGTGTGTGTGTGTCTTATACTCTCCAAAGACATGCATTAATCTTGTTTGCGGCGAAACTGACTTGGAATTCAAAGGTTGTGTTCACAGTTCATTGATGTGCATACACAAGTATGATATACAAAACCACCACCAGTACCACCAGTTTATGAAACGTTGCCGATGCATAATGGAAACGGATTGTTCTGTTATGTTCAGCTGTGATACTTCCCCGAGGAAAAAAAGGCAACAAAAAAAACGTCTTTCATTCGGAACATGTTTTATTCATAGCTAAGATCAAGTTCTTTAAATGATGATGTTACTGGTTTGGAAATTCAGTGGTATTGTAAAATATATTTATAAAGTCTAAAACTACAAACCCAGCTGAGCAGTTGGCATGAAAGTCTTCATCCTCTTGGTATCAATTATGGCTGAAAAGTCTTCCCTTATTCCCCCTTCTGCTCCCGCCTTTAACAGTCTTGTAGGGATTTCACCCAAAGATGAATTTCTTCAGCAATGCTTGGGTACAGTCGAGGCTGAGCGGGAATTTGTAATAATGTTGGGAGTTGTCTGAATCTAACACGTGGGCCGTGGACCACCATGCAGTGCAGTAATGCTGCAAAGGTTAGGCTATATAAAGCACATGCCAAATGGCCTTGGTAAAGTGTAGTACTTTAAACGTGAATCATATAACCAATTTTAAGTCATCTTGAAAATGTCAAGTAGAAGTGAAAAATGCCCAACACTATTTCCAAGATCCAAAGCTAACAATGTACTTGCTTTTCTCCATCCAATACCCAACATATATTTATTATACATTGATATAAAACCCTCTCATTTCAGAAGATGAAATTAGATAATATGTAGTGTTTCTTTCTTGAGAAATGATTATCTACTTACCAGCATTGACAGTTATGTGTTAATTGACTAATCAATTATAATCATTCAATCATTTCTGCACTAATTTGGGCATCACAGTGGTCCTTCTCATGGATTTATCCTGCAGATATTCTACAGCATTATACTGTGGATATTGTACATTTCACAACCGTGAATCATATTTTGAAACCGTGAATCACAAACCATACTATCGGAATGGATTTGGGCAATGCTCTATTCTCTGTATTCACACACCCTGTGTCTGGTTTGCCTTGCAGCTTCACTCAAACTCGGATAAAGGCGATGGATCTGTCCGGTACATTCTGAGCGGGGACGGAGCTGGGAATATATTTATCATCGACGAAGTGACAGGAGATATTCATGCCACTAAGAGTCTGGATCGCGAGAGGAAAGCACATTATGTCCTGCATGCACAAGCCTTGGACCGCAACACAGAGGAGGCGCTGGAACCAAAGTCGGAATTCATCATCAAAGTACAAGACATCAATGACAATGCACCCAAATTTCCAGATGGACCCTTTGTAGCGACGGTGCCTGAGATGTCTGAACTGGGTGAGTAGTGCTACAAAATAAACTGCACTAACACATGATTATCTGCAGCAGTGAGCGTTGAATGGGTTGAGAGATGAGAATAAATGTCTAAACTTGAGTGTTGTTTTAGTTGCGTTTTAGATATTCTTCATGTTTATAATCCCTCTCATCCATGCGGTAAAAAGAAATTACATTTCATTTACACTCATGACCAAGTATTGCTCCATGATGTCTCACTCAAACATGTTATGACCCAGTGCAGCATTCTGCTTTGTCCTCTCTGTGATAATGTTCTGCAGAATGTTTGATCTCCTGTAAGCCAGCCGAGTCCTCTTTTTCATCTTTGTTTGCTGGTTGCTGTGATGGTTTCCCGGGTGGGCAGGTCTTTATAAAGCACTCAATAGTGCTTCCACAGCAATCCCCACCATCGGGGCGGTGGAGTCCTCCGCATCATGGAGGAAAGAAAAGCCTCTATACCTCCTCTGAGACAGCTGCTCCTGCCCAGAATCATGTGTCAAACATCTATGTTTTATTCTGTCTTTTTGCACGGGCAAAACCCCCACCCTCTTTTCTCAGTCCAGTTGATTCTGCCTCTCAGCACAATAGCTCAAAAGTATGGTGCTCAGAAATTTCACAGCACTCCTTCAAAACATATGTAGGTTGTGGCCAAACATAAACGGTGGCCAAGCTGCTGTCAGAGCGATTTTCTTTCTAAAGCACTATAAGGTAGTGAATCTGTGGTGCTGACACTTTGTTGAAAACATTCCATTTATATCTGTCCGTCTAAAATCATTCCTTCAGCTGCTGAAAAGAAGTAGAAGTATGTATGTATATATGTCTGTATGTCAGTTTTCTTGTTGGATTTTGCACCCATATGACGCGTATACGTGAGCGTCCGTAGGGGATGCCGCTCTGTCATAGTAGGTATATTTCTCAGGACCAAAGGAAGTTCAGGGTTGAGTGTGAAATTGTTTGGATGAGAGGTTCTCGAGAAAGCTGCAAGCAGCAATACCGTGGGCCCGTTTACGAACAGGACCGTTTTTCTGTTCTGAACGGGCACTGCACTAGTGTGAAAAAAAAAAAATACCCCCAAAGAGAAAAATGAACAGAATCATCAGCTTCTTGCAGCGAGAAGATGGAAATGTGCAAAACCGATTAAATATGCTAACCCCAATAGAACTGTGGACGCCCTCTGTATAAACAGTCAATATCTCCCTGGTTGCCTTCATGAATATTCAGGAACAGACAGGCCTGACACACATACTACTTTGCCAGTCAGTATGTTGGTACCTAAATTGGATGTGTCAAGTACATGTCCTAATCTCTGCTGAGAGAGCTGCACTGCGCAGTATGTTCTGATGCTTGGTATTTAGACTCATATTTATTGGCACGTACTGATAAAGATGCTGTTGCTATTGTAAGACAACAAAAGAAATCCATAAATCTTTATCTCTGAATGAGTGCATAATAAGGTGATGAGAATATACTCACAACCCTGATCTGTGTATCGGCATCCTTCGTTTAGCCCTAACGAGACTACTCATTTCTAAAGTTTCAGCGCTCGCTGGAAACTTCATCATCTATTGCACAAAAAGAATCAATCACCATTGATGACCCAAGGGAGGAAATCAAGGACTATGAAGGGGAAAATAATTAGCCCTTTTTTTTGCCGCCCCCTCTTTTGCTCATGCCCATTAAAGTAATTCCTCGTTGATTCGGCATCTGCGGCATCAAATCGGCTGTAACAATCAACTGTCCTCGCACTCCAAAGCACTAATCCCCCTAGCGTTCGTCAATACCGGCGCTCCCAAGTGCAGGAAGGGGCTGTCTGGGAGTGTGGCAACTAATTGGCTGTGATGTTCTTTTCTTCCTGTCTAAATTGATTAGCTGGGCAGGTGCCAGGTAGTCCGACGTTACCGTTTCATACCTCCAATTCAATGGTGCAATAATATTTTTTTAGAGTGCCAGATGAAAGGAGTATCATCTTCCAACTGCTGTATATCTCCCAGTTGAGATGTCTCTAAATGGACGTACTGGAGATGGTATCGCTTTCCTGTCGACCATTTCACTTCTGGGAAAATCACTGGTTAATAGTGGTTAGAAAACTCAGAGACAGATGTGACTGCTTGTTTAGATGAGGAGTTATAATTAAATGAGTGTTATTGGAAGTTGAGCCGAATAGCACACACAGGTACGCGTCAAACCCTTTTATAAGCCAAACAAAATGCATTCAGGGTTGCATACTGAACTCGTACTTTTGATTTATTTCCAACGTTTTGTCTCTCTAAGGTGTTGTTTCCGGTAAATGTTGCTATCCGTCATAAAACACAGATCAATTTTTGTTTTTGAATCAGTTTCCTTCCTGAAAAAACACACTTGGCTGTGTATTGTATCTGTTACCCCATTAAGATGACATATTACTTCCACCCATTAAGTCTCAACAACATCTTGCTTTTTTTCATTTCATGTAAGTGGGGATGAAGCCAATAGCACAAGACCTCTGACTCACACTTAGGGAGGATGAAGGGAACCTTGTGGTTGTAATCCACCTTCAGACACCAACCTTGATCTTTTAAAAGTACATTAAGTCTTGCGTTCGCAGCAATGAGTCCAGTGAGGTCAGTAGATGTTGAAACCCAAAGGAGGTGATGAAAGTAGAGGTAAAAACGTGAAAACAGTATGTGACTGGGTTCATAATGGATAGGATGATCTGTGTACGTTGAACTGAATACAAGTTTCACATTGTTTCTAGCATGGTGTATTTCTGATTCCTCAACTTTGTTCCAGCCTATTTTTCATTCCCAGGGCATCAAAAACCAACACTTTGTCACATCTGATATCATAGCTCAAGGCACCCTTTACACCCTTTATATGAGACGCACCGAGCTTCTAAGCAACAGTGCCAACCCATCCACATCATTCTTAGACGCTCAGAAAGAATTCTCAGAATTCTTGTACTTAACTTACGTAGTTATTTTAAGCCCAACCATGATGTTTTTCCTAAATGTATTGAAGTGTTTTTGTTTGAATTCACAATGTTGACCACGTGTTTTTGCGACTGGAGTGGAGCGTCGGCTGTTCTTGCTGCGGGATGCTATTACTTACATTTTCTAAAAGAGCCGCCATTGTAAAAATAATCAAGGTGCAATGCAAAGCGTAGGATACTGTACATCTGAAACCCTAAATAGATGATGCTTCTCTGTCTTCAAAGAAGCCTCGCGTCCAACAATGTCATATATCCTTGAGGACTTAAGGACTTAACTATCAAAAATAATCCATTTGTTTCAGTTTAGGGGTACCACCTGGAAAAGTGGTTTGGTTTTAAAGAGATGCAACCAGCAACTGAAACAAAATCCTACACACTGGACCTTTAAGTGGGATGAGTCCTAGTTTTGAAAACTTGCTCAGCACTTACAGAGATTTCAGACTCCTGCTTACAAGACGGACTAAACAAGTCCTGTTGGTCCTGTTGGTTGTCCCTTTGTTAGAACCGTTAAGAGTAGCTGTATTGGTAAGTGTTTCTCACTCTCCAGGACACTTCTAACAGGACTAAAATGCTACTGTGAAAACCTGACCTGTTGGTGAGTTTTACTGTATTCGTGAAACTGATTTTTCAAAATGAATGTTCAGCAAACACGTGCACACTGACTCTTGAGTGTTCACTCCGTATTGAGTTAAATCAGACCTTTTAATGCTGCACTCGTTACCTTAATAGTTTCAGATACATAGTGAGACCACAGCACTCAGGTTGAAGTGCATTGTGAGCGATAGAAAGCACATTGTAGAGTCTTTTAAGAGTGCTGCATGCAACGATATGAATATGTGATCTGTGATGAAGTTATAAGACCATTCTGCAGTCAGATTCAGCGCCATGCTATGTAGAAATATTAATCATACAAGGTCACAGATGAGCATTGTATTTACTTAAGCCATTAACACAGGTCAATTCAAGGTTCATCAATTAAATCATGTCCTCACTAATATGTTTTCTTAGCCGGATGATTTGGAACAGCTTCCAAAGCCATTCCACGATTGATTGAGTCAAAATATTACGAGTGCAATTTGTGCAGCATGGCTGACAGACATTTAGAGTGCCCGAGCATACTGCGGAGAACACGGCTCATTATGGATGGCATTTCACTCCGCTCCTTCAGGTTTCCAAGAAAGAAAAACACTCACATCTGTTGGTTTAGTGGTTTTTCACTTATATAATTGAGTTTTATTTCCAGAGGAAAAGAATAATGCAACTATCCACAAGATCTACAGGCCTTACTATGTATCATGTCATACTGTGATTCATACATATTCTCATGCATCATATAAGCTTGTAGTGCAATTGCAATGCACTCATCATGCAATTATGATGGGTTAATGAAGCCTGTAATGCTGTTTGAGCAACACTTCAACTGTTAAATTGAACCACAGTGGCTTTCACGCAGGATATTTTTAAATAACTGTGTTAATAATGACCTTCCCTCTAAGTTTTGATATCATTTGTCTTTGTTTTTGTCATCTTATACAATGAAAAATGCTTGAAAACTAAGTAGAGAGCTTGTACTCATATTCCCCATTCCCTAAGGTTTGACAGCTGAAAAATGCAATGTCACGTGACTCACACCCAATGCAGTCTGCTTTTGTGCTGGTGAATAAGTGAATACACATTAAATTACATTATATATACACTTAATTTATCATATTGTTTCTGACTTATTTTGTGTTTACCTAATGGCAACCTGTTAACTTGGTGGCTAACCACAATATCTGCCCAGATAACTTCAACTTCATTTGTTTAGAGAGGTTTTCTGCAGTTGGCAACATATCATGAAATATTGTGTTAGTATTTTCTCCAGCATGCTAAATCAGAATGTTTGTTAGTTTGCTTGTTTGCTAGCTGTTTCTTTGGGTTAAATGAGGTGTTCCTCTAAAGGCTACAACCCAGCATTTAAGCATCTCTCTCTTTGTAGTCCTGTGTGCTCATGAACCATTTTTCCTTCGGCCGAGGGGGTGAACGAGAGTCTCGTTAAAAGAGAGTCTGGAGCAGCAGCTCTCGGATGTTAACTGGCTCTCGAGCAGAACTGTGCATTCGCCATACTTAAGCAACGTTTCGAATTCAGTCCTGCTTGCGAATCCAGTTAACCGCTAAGAGTTGTTTGATTGGTTCGTGAATCTAAACATCACTTCTAAAAAGGTACCAGACATGGTTGCGAGTTGATTTTCAGCACAGAGCCAATAACTCACATCAAAACGCTTCCGTTAACATTTGTAAACCTGTACAAGAGACAGGAAATACCAGGAAATAACCTTGCTGTGTTCTCTTTTCTTTAGGCACTTCTGTGTTGCAAATCACAGCGTCTGATGCAGACGACCCCACCTATGGAAACAGTGCCAGAATAGTCTACAGTATTCTACAAGGACAGCCATATTTCTCCGTCGACCCCAAAACAGGTGTGGTATTGCTGCATGCTTGGGTGAACAGACAAAGTGTGTGCGCATGCTATTTCAAGCCTGGTAACTATAACAACAAATGGATGTCATAACTTAGTTATAATCTCTGTTGTTGATCTCCTAAAGAGATGCGTATATGTCACGCAGTGAAATATGTGCACCGTGCTCCTCTTTCTGTGAATCTCCTGTTCTGTTATTGCAGCACATCTGACGCCATAAAAGCTAAAGCATCCACAGTAGAGTTATGGACTACTCGCACGACTGCTATATTGTTGAACACGCAAACCGCTCTTTGTGGGCCATAACTAACTCCTCGGGGGTCAAAGAAGACATTTGTAGAGATGCCTTCAGAAAGCCATTGTTTGCAACCTTTTTAAAAGGAGCAAAAAAATAAAAAACGGCTGCAGTGCTCAGTGTTTTAAAATTCCATCCTTTGTCTGAAAGGCCTCTGCTGGAATCTATGAAATCTTTATAAACCTTCTAAAGTGTGAGACATATAACTTTTATATGATGTGAAAAGTGTGTTGTGAGTGTGTGCGTGTCTGTTTATTTCGGATCCCTCTTTGTCTTCCAAACGAGTGCGTGCGTGCGTGCGTGCGTGCGTGCATGTTTGTATCTGAAGTCTTGCTGCTGCTGCTGCTGCTGCTGCTGCTGCTGCTGCTGCTGGTTAAACTGAACAACGATCCACTTATTCCAGACTGCAATGAATCAATTCATACAACTACTGGCCCCTTTGAGACTATACCGCCCATGTAAAACATGAATTCTTTGCTGAATGAGCAACACAAATGAATTGCTGAATATTTTGACTTCACCTCGAGGGAAAACGGCGGTGCGGTGGGGATTGATGGAGCAATTTCACAGCGGCGTCGTGAGGCAGAAGCAATGCCAACTTTTTGAATGAAAACCGGGCTCTCTCACAACAGCACATACATTGTTCCGTCAAATATTTCAGTTGAAATCTATTTTATATCACGTTTTGACTGTAAAAATGATTATCCTGCGGTAATTTTCTCTCCATTTCCCATATGCACTGGGCTGTTGGACACATCAGATGGCTTGTTTTGCTTGAGCTGACTCGGCATCTTGTCTGCATTGTAATTCAGCGCGGGGCTGGCAGAGGAGTAGGAGGGTGATCGAAGGCCTAGCCAGCTGCACTCTCTGCGCAGCACATGTATTCATTTATACAAGTCGTCGGTTGTTTTTGCCGCTGGCAATCCACCCTCCTCCCTTAAATTAGGACAAGGAACTCCAGCGGTCAGTGGGAAATGTGCACATGGTGGAAGCTGCACTCGCATGTGATCTGTAATATGCTAAGCCCGAGTCTTAGAGTAGTTGTGTTGGCATGCTGCCATGTTTGAGTGCCACACTGGGGAGCTGGGGAGCTCCTGCACATGTCTCACAGCGCTCCCACCTCCTTATATCCACATGTACCTGGCTCCCACCTCGATTAAACTGAAGAGACATCATCTTGGGGAATTCATATATTATTAGCAGGATTAAACACAGACGACAGATGCATGCAAACACACACACACGGACAAACCCACCTCTTTTCATTTGACCTTGGTCTGGTGGCCTGTGACAGATTTGTACAAGACCCACGAGGTAGAAGGAGAAATCGTTTAAGGACAGAGGGTAATGATAGCAGTTGGCCTGCACATATGGTGCTGAAGGAATCCCCAAAGGACCATCTCAGGCTTGAACCAAATCCTCAGCAAGCCACAAAGTGAAAAATTTTACCTTTTTCTTCCCCCTGGCTTAGTGGGTTTTGATAACATCATCTCATACCTACCAGCAACTGAAATGACTTCTGACTGTTTGGAAATTGTATTAAATGTAAAATTGACCACAGTTACAGAAGATCTCCCTTTTCAACCTTAACAGGACTTATTAAACGCCTACTTATGCAAGATCCATATCATTTGGTCTAAGGTTATTATTAGATCGTGAAGACTTGCAATATGATAAACCCAGTTCATCAAGACAAAAGCTGCGAAATAACATCATTACATTTTGCGAAGCACATTTAGGGCTAAACGATACATCGTTTCAGCATCGACATTGCGATGTGCACATGCGCAATAGTCACATTGCAGGACTTGCGATGTTGGCAAATAACTCAAACAGATAATGCTAAAACTTTTTTGCTGCTTGACACAAAAGGAAAACTCGCACGGTTCTCATTTTCAATAGCTATTATTAAAGTCCTGGGCGAGTCGCTGGATGGTGGTTTAGGCTCTGCATCTCCTTCTCCACAGTTCTTCTCCATGTGTTTCTTGGTCGGCCTCTTTTTCTTTGGCCTGAAAATGTGAAGTATTCGCCTTAAACTCATGGTGTGGAGGGTTGATAGTCTGTTGAGATCTTCTTGTGTCATTCTCCAGAACCAAACAATAGGGTGGATAAAACACAGCTCTGATACAATTTGAGTTTGGTCTTGATGGTGTCCTGCTGTGATACAATATATGTTATTCAGTACTTTGAAAGTGTTCCTTGTCTTATTAAGACATGACTTGATGTTGTTATCTGTGCCCCCATTGTGTCTGACAGCGCTGCCCAAATATGTGAACTCGTCAGTTTTGGGGAGATCTTCTCCGTTAACCTGAATTGCTGAGGGATTTTGAATGTTCAGAGTCATCACTTCTGTTTTCTTTTTGCTGATCTTCAGGCCAATCTTCTGACCAAAATCACTGATCACTGATTATTAAAGCCTAGTTTCATATAATGAACCATATACATGTTTACAGCTCTCAGCGGGTGGGGTCCGGGTCTGACCCCTGTCCCACATTGATGCTTTTAACAAAATAAAATGCAGCCCTAAAGCACATAGCTTTCGCATCATCTCACACCAATAATCAACCAAACCAAAGGCAAATTATATTAGACATTCCGAATTTAAAGTTAGATAACGAAGGCAGACATGCTAATTGCTCAGTGCAAAAATAACTGAGTTCATACTTCCTAACTGACTAATTAACTCGGAGAGCAGCATTAATGCGGCTTCTCGTCTCCGCTGGAAATGAGATTCAATCATGGATGTAAAATTGTAATTGATGCATCTAAGGTGTTGTCATGCCGCATGCAAACAAGGAGAGATAGGGATTTCGGATTAGATTTACTTGGCTGAAGAAATAAATGAGCATGACACAGACTTTGTAAATACAGAAATGTAACTGATGCAACTGATAATGATGGAAGGCCTGAGGGGGGAGATGTGGGCAGAAGAACACAAATGTGTCAGCTTTGCACTGCGTTATAATAATTTGACATTCTTCGCAGTTCTTTTTCATGAATAATCTCTTCCAAACTGTAAATAGAATGACAGAGTTGTCTGCAAGTATGTGTGATTGACATTTGGATAGCTAATGGCAATATGAGGTGCAATTCCAATGATTCACTGTGTCACTACACATTATGTGGTGCTGGGAGAACCCTCTCATGTTTGTATGCTCGATACGAAGCTAGAGCCAGCAGGTGATTAGCGTAGTGTAGCAGAACGACCGGAAACAGGTGGAAACAGCTGGCTTTGCTCTGTCCAAAGGCTAAAACAAATGTCTGCCAGCAAAGTGAATAGGTGGATGTCCCAAAATGTCAAACTGTTCCTTTACATCGTTAACATGTGTTGCATTTTGCAAAGAAGCTAGATGTCGAATGAGGTTTGCTACAGGAGGGAGTTTCCAAGAACTGCAACCCGTTCTCCCAACTCCCAACATCATCAATAACCGCAGCTTGGTCGGTGCCCCTCGGCATCTGATACCGATCCACGGAGGCGCCCTTTAGCATCTGTATGTGACGCACCAGGCTTTCAACTAACTCCATGCACCTCATTATTAGACACTCAGAGCAAGTGACATGACACAACATGCGCGATAGTCTGTTTTGGCCAGATGGGTTGGGTGGTCGATGGGACAAACAAACACTGGACTTATAACCCGAAGGCGCTGCTTTTTTTTTACGTCAGTTAATAGTAATGTGACTGATTAGTCCCATTGTTGCATGAACATAACTTCCTTCGAAAAGTTACTTTGCATGAAAAGGGCATCTATTGAAGCTTTGTCCCTGACACATCCTTAACTGTTGCTAGAGGGGTACCTGTCTAAAGCTTGAAGCTAGTTTGAAGCTTAGGGCCACTGACCCAGCCGTGGTATTTGACGAGTCTGCAGTGAGAACGTGTTGACAACAGCTACAAATCCTGACAAGTTATCCTTTAAGAAGGACCCTGAACACCCTACCTGCTGCTTGTGCTGTGACTTGTCTGGGGATTTTGGTCAATAACAAGAGCGGATCCACAAGGACAACGGGGTATTAGACAGACTGACTGAACCTCTGTCTGCTCACTGAGTGTAAATCCCACATTATAAAAGTTACACATGCTGGCTGGATGTACATATGACAGGTTCACTTTTTAATAGCGCTTACATTTTTTTTGTCTGACAGCTCTTACAATATTAACTAGTTAGCTAAGTGACATGCTAATTGTGTTATAAGCATCCGCTGCAATGGATTAACTTGATCACATGGTTTGCAAATCTCAAAACTGCAAGCCGGCAGTTATAATAAGCACCTTTCATATCTCAGCAAAAATACACCTTAGACTGGCTGCATTTATCCTTTTTATTGTCGGGTCGTAACTCCTGTCTTTCCCATCACTACCGTGCATCTGTCACTTGCCCACAGAGACATTAGGGTTTTCCCTCTCGAGTCTCATAGTCGAATGCTCTCACCAACCCCACCTCGCACCGGCACTGGCTCACACACAAAGACACGCGACACCGCAGAACCCCTAAGTCCCTTTTGCATTCTAAATAGGCTAATTTCTCTGCTGATCTGGGATTTGGGAGTGTTGGAGTTTATTGAAGGAGCTGACACAGATCAAGACATTTGTGGTTCATGGATTAAGCCTTACCTCTGGTATAAATCAAGGAATACAGTGCCACTTTTGCAATCAATGTAGACTCTTGAGCAGACCAACCAATTATTCTCGATCAGATATGTACTCCGATACATAAGTAAAAAGAAGAGGTTTCCTGTTATGATTTCTGAGATTTTTATAGCTGCTGTTGTTCGTGTTATCTACCATTTCTCCTGGAATGCTGTCAGAGTGCAGGGCACGCAGGGATAACATCGTATTGGATGAGCCAAAAAAGATTCCTGAAGCTGGAGATTGAAGAGTGCTTGAGTAATCTCCTATAATCCTTTTTGTTCACCCAGGAGATTGTCCTCCTTTAGAAGTTTGCAGCCAGACAAAGAGGTGGATCGCGCGATGGTATCAACTCTAATAGACTGGGGAGGTTGAGGAAAAGGCTAGCCACCTCACTGTGTCAAATGGGCCCAGGTTCAAGGAAGTCAGCTCTTTCTCAATTATTTTCTAAATGAACTCACAAGCTCCATAGAGATTTAGCGGAGACTATCTGAGGTATTACGGTTCAGAAGTGGTCAGGAAAGGCAGTTCAGGGGTGTGATCCTCATGTCAAAGTACTGGCATACCGCTCAGATACCAAAGAATACCCTCGTGGCATCTTCTATAGTGTTAAAGAATTTAATTCAAGACTGAATGCAGTTCAGTGATCAGTTCAGTGATGGGTTTGTCATGTAGCTGCATTGCATGAGCTGTGAATGTGTTACTCACAAATCTCTCCTCCTGTTGAGTGCTTGCTTCTGTTTTCTTTATTTGTCTGAAACAGCAGAGCTTCTCATTTGGTTGTTTGACGACAAATGATTGACAGGAGATCATCCCAATTGGTGTGGGCAACAGTAGAATTCCCAGAGCCCAGAGAAGACCTCATACTTTTAGTGTGTGCTCATCGTTCCTAAATCTGGCGCAGTGAAATATTGCTCAGGAGCGCTGCGCCTTCACGAGTAAAGGCGTAATAAGAGACTCGAAAGGTCAGATCATCTGTCTTCCTGTTGTTTAATGGAAAGTGTGGCCACTCGCCAAGGTCTGGTGTGTCTCAAGGACCCCAGGTTAAGTAATGCTAAGACTCCAGTTAATAATAGAGGGCTTCAAATAGAGTCTGCAGAGCTCGCATCATTACAGGGAAGTGGCTGCGAGCACTTTGATTAGTTTAAAAACCACGGAAAGAAGTGGATCCATGCTGAGAGATGACATTTAAGTTAAAAACAAGAAATAACAGCTTGGCTCAAAAAAAAAAAGAGAAGTTCTTGGGCTCTGTGTCCTGGAACTGTTTTAATACATATGTGGATTTGTTGCAGTGAAAATCTCTATGACAGTACATGTTTTATTATTGTCTCATCACATTTAGTTTTTTATTTGTGATAAGGCAGTTTTGTAGGGTCCAATAAAAGCTTGTGGGATGACCCAATCAAGTACTCTTCTCCCTCGATCCCGATCAGGGTCATGTAATGTTGAGTATCTGCCGATACTAACTCCTGACTCGATACTTGTATTTTCCTAAATAATACAGCTGCAGAGTCCACACTTCAAGAACATTGAAGTTATTCAAATCAATCCAATGCATGTGCTTAACAACTGAATAGCTCTGCATTGCATTAAGAGAATAATGCCTTTTTACTTCTGTAATGTTTTTGACCTTGTCGCTATCTTAAAGGGAATTTCTCTCTGCCTTTGAAAGCGAATCACCTCAATCCGTTGAGTGTTTATTTACGTCTTTTGTGCATATTACATTAATAAATTCTTATAGGATTTCTACTTTCAGTGCTTTTGTTGACCTTGCAGTGGCGTGGTGAGTGTGGTGGTGGTCGGTGCTCCCCTGACTGTCTGTGGAGAAACACCATAGATGGAAGCAAAACGCAAGAAGCTCTCTCACTGAGCTGAAATATAACAAGTGCACACAATACAGATATAAAACACAGATATTGGATATCGGACATCCCCAGTCTTTATTACTATTTCTATGAATTATTTTCCGGCTTAAGTGAAAAGACTCAACAACTGATGAACACAATTTGAACCTCTTGTATTAAGTCCATTATCAATACATTATTTCATAGTTTTATTTTTTTTACTGCAACAAGAAGACAGATATTTCAGAATCTTTTGAGATTGCAAAGAATCCCAAGAGTCCCAATATAAACACTCATAGTTCTGAGGGCGGCATGTTAGTCTGTTCCGTCAACTCAGTCCGAGTTCAGACAGATGATGTCATGTTCTCCTTAGCATTTGAAAGGCAGAATGTACCAAAGTATTATTTGCCGTCAACGCACACGTCAGTCCTCTCCCATTTAATTAAGCTAATCACTCAACGAGAACTAGAGTTACAATATATAACCACTATCATTACTTTTCAAGGAAGAACCGATATGAATGCTGTGAAATATATTTTTGATATCGTGTCAGAGAAGAATCTACCTGGCAGTCAAAGTAAATGAATTTGCTTTGATGTCTCCTGGAATAAAGCCCTGCGACACATTAGTGTCTGCGTAGCTTGCTGCCCCACTTAACGGTTGTTCTTTTGCAAGCAGAACTAAGACACATTAAATCACACCACACGAGGAGTAGACACAAAACGCACTGAATCACCACAATATGTTTGAAAGTACCTCACAAAGAAAGTGGCTTAATCTTGTTTTGCTTCATCTCCCAACATCCAACAACTCGCACATCTGTGTAGCCTTAAAGAGGAATCTGAGGACGTGCAGTATACTGATGTCATACATTGAAAACCCCTTTTTTTTTAACCGGCAGATTCTGTCTATTTTTTATGGAAAAGAAGTCGACAAGCATCAGCCACTAGAGGAATATGAACAAGAGGAATCGATAAGTTAGAGTTTAACAACACCACTGTGGATGCAGAAGTGGAGAGTCTATTCACAACTCATTCATGAGAGCGCCATCACCATCTCAGGGTCATTTTTTAAAGGTTACATTGTGAAGATTACGAAATAATCGGACAGTAGGTCACCTCTCAAATGCAAATTTCACCGGAACTCTAACTCCTACAACAACTTCTGCTCATATAACTCTTCTTTTATTTATATTGCCTGTGATAGTTAGATTCTGGTCTATGAAGCTTTATCATAATTCCCTTTTTTGTTGATTTGCTGCTGATCGGTTCAGGTTCACAAGTCTACGGGACCTCAGCAGCAGCAGCAGCTCAGTGTGACAGATGATGTGTGACCTAAGATCCCCTGGATCTTAATACTGTTGGCTGCCTTGCTCCTTGACCCACTTTTAATGATTATTCTGCCTTAGGCCAGTGGATTAATTCTGTCTAGAGAGCCTTGAACAAACAAAAGAGGAAATGTACCTATTGTATAACGCAGCTATAGGTGACTCTTTGGTAAAATTAGGAAATCATGAAACTGCATTAATTCACTCAAAAATGTTTTTTTCATTCTGTGAAATTCAAGTTTTTAGGGTTTGAACTGGGAACCGAGCACTGACAGAATATTTGGTATGAATGATAATTGTCATCTGAGTCGGTTAACGATGTAGTTCAAATGCATTTTTGCTGTTGTGATTTCCACTCCCAACATGAAGCAACAGAAATCCATTTACTGTCGTGATCAACATCATCCCTTTTCCTGCCAGGTCTCACTGCTCCCTGTCAGCCACTATGTATTATTGAAGGGTTCACAAGTACAATGGTTGCCGGGGGGTCTTGTCTCTGGGGAAAAGCGAGATGTCCGAGGAACACTGATGTTTCTGGTAGAACATATTAAATCAGGCCCCATGTGGTGATGTGGTTTCAGGAGCTAAGATGGCAAATTAACCCTCCAGCACAGATATAGACACAAACGGAAAACTAACACAGACAGACGTGTTAAGACTCCACACAAAGACACACACACACAGACAAAAAATGTGTGCAATACATGTATTATATTCTATAAATCACCTACACAAACAAAATACTCCGCATGACTTTTTGGCTTATTTCTGTTGTTGCAATTTACCTGTGTACAGAATCTCTCTGTAGCGGGCAGAGGGGCAGTCATATATCACTGAGTTAGCATTGTGAAAGTTCATGGTTGCGTTTGCTCCGTTATTGTTGTAATGAACGTGATCGAGGTTGTGCCTTAGAAAGTTGCATTCTGCCCCGATCCAAGGTTGCATAGTCATTTCCAATATAATGAAAAGTGAGGAAGGACTAACCTTCACAATAAAAGATGAAAGAAGCACAGTTTAATGGTGTTCGTCTTTAAAGGAAAGTGTGATATGGTGCTGTACGGGTAGTCCATAACTGAAAGAATATACGAGGACAATGATTGTAACATCTTGACAATAGCAAGAGTGGTATCTTCACTCTCTCAACAGTGATCTCTTTTTGCGTTGTCATCCCGAAATTGATTTTTTTTTTCGTCCGTTTTACTTTACTTGTTGTTTTTATTCTCAAAATACCCAACTATATATTCTGCGGTGGCACATGTATCTTTATGAGTTGGTGTTAACTGCAACCTGATTATTAAAATGTCCGGTGCCATTGGAGAGCTCATCCGTCCCTATTTTAGCTCAAATGTGTTTCTCTCCATCTGTTCAGGAATCATCAGGACTGCCTTATCTGAAATGGACCGGGAAGCCAGAGAACACTACACCGTTGTTATCCAAGCCAAAGACATGGCGGGCCAGGTCGGAGGCCTCTCCGGCTCCACCACCATCAACATCACTCTGACAGACGTCAACGACAACCCGCCCATGTTTCCCCAAAGTGCGTATTCATTGTTACCTGAAAACAACAAACAAAAAGCAGGCCAAACTTTATTATTTTGCAGAACAGTCAGTAGAAAAACACAGTTAAGTGAATAATGATTAGGTTGGCAAGACGCTAAATTGTCTTTGGCCATAGCTTCTTTTTGGAAACTCTACCGCAAACTAGCCACAAGGCTAATTTAGCAAAATAACCAATGGTAAAGTTAATGTGTTACTATGAACCTACATATACAGTATACACACAACTTATGTTACATTAAATGGAGTAGCTTTGGTGGGAAATTGGAAAAACATTTTAAGCAGAGGACCTCCATTACAGAGGCCTGAGGCAGAACCTGAACAGCATTTCTAACAAGAGTTGTGTGTTGTATTTCCCTTGTGAAAGTGGACGAGAAGACATGCTATTTTTAAAATCATTCAGGCGATACATCTGCGCACAAGACAACCAGATTATTGCTGTTTTTGCTGCTTGAATGAAAATAAGAAACATCAACTGTTCAGTATTTGCAGGGACAAGATTATTTTAATTATAATTTGTTCAGGCGTGCAACGATTAACCATATATCAATCCAAGAGGGTCTTAGAGAGCAGATCATGGATTATTGAAGCTTCCCCTCATAGACCTCTTTAGCATTCCTCACTCTGATGTATTATACTTCATTAGTGTGTGACTCAGTAGTCTAATATTGCAGTTAAATGTTTCCATAATTAGCTGTATTAGACTAGCATTTATCAAAACCCTTTGTTTTGCAGTCTGAATTTCCTCCATTTTAATAATGAATATAAGTAATGATAAAGTTGTGATATGTTGTCTTTGAAAGTGCCCCATCAAGCACAATCACCCAGGACTTGGAGATTTTCATTTTGTGCTGCAGTGAAGACCATCAACATTGTCTGAATTATCATCCATGATGATCCACGCCATTGCAGTACGACATCATGAAGCTCCGTTTAGCATTTAATGTCATTTGAGGCACTGCAGACTATCTGTAATGACATTCCCTCAGGAACAAATGGTGACAGAATCAAACTGCTTAGCTAAGCCCTGTTAGAAGGACATTCAGACAATGATGTGGGGCTAGTCAGCTTCTGTTTTTAAATATATATATATATATTATTTTTTTTTTTTTCCCATCTCTAAATGGGTACGCATTAATGTTTATCCACAGAAAATTACCAACTGTACGTCCCTGAATCAGCTCAAGTAGGGAAACCGGTGGGGAAGATCAAAGCCAATGATGAGGACCTTGGCATCAATGCAGACATCAAGTACAGCATCATTAACTCAGAGGGGGCCAACACGTTCTCCATAGCCACGGAAAGGGACACGAGAGAGGGCATCATCAGCCTCAAAAAGGTAAGAACATGATTCCTGCAACAGAGAAATGTGAACCCTCTGGAAAATATATGAAGAAAGAGCCCTGTGTAGCAGTCTTGCTTGAACACTGACTTAAAGGGGACATATCACACTAATTTCCAGGTCCATACTTGTATTTTGGGTTTTAATTAGAGCATGTTTACATGCTTTGATGTTCAAAAAACACATTATTTTTCTTATACTGTTTGCCTGAATATACCTGCATTCACGCTCTGTCGGAAAGGCTCCGTTTTAACGCCTGTCTCTTTAAGACTTTAAACCTTCCGGAAACAAGCCCAGTCTACTCTGATTGGCTTCCGGGAAAATATGGTGTACCTTTGCAAAGGTTGTCTTTTTGCAGTTTGTGGGTTTGTGGGCACTGAGGATACCCAACTGTATGTGCGCAAGAAAAAAAAGTGTTTTCCATGATATTCCCCCTTTAAAAGGTGTATTCTGGAGAGTTTTTGACCATAAGTGCTACCATAAAACAGGTCCTCATATCAAATAATTAACCAGCATATGAGGACACTCATGCATACACAATGCTGCCATATGCAGAGAGTGGTAACAGTTGTAGTGGTAACAATGGTAACAATGCCTTTCCCCCCGACAGCCTCTGAACTACGAGAGAAAGAAGACCTACACTCTCCACATCGAGGGCACCAATACACATGTGGATCCTCGTTTTTCCTATCTTGGCTCTTTCAAAGACACTGCCACCCTTAAAATCACCGTTGGGGATGTGGACGAAGCCCCAGTCTTTTCTATAGACCATTACATCATGGACGTATATGAGAACTCTCCTAGTAGCACAGAGGTGGGCGTGGTAACGGCTCGAGACCCTGACAGCAGGAACAGTCCTGTCAGGTAAGACTCTTTAACTCCTACAATCTGCTGAGAAGATTACAAATATTCAGAGGCAGAGCAGCTCTGTAGGCATACTGTGTTATTAGTTGTGCACCAATGGATATAATTGAAGATCTACCGTTTCTCGTGTTAAGAAATATCAGACAAGCCCACTGCAAGAGCAAAGGGTAAGAGTGGAGGTTACTTATATTATGAGGCTTATTTTGAGGCTCAATGCTCTTGCAGATGTGACTGGCAGCCAATGTAGCCCTCTCACTTTGTCAACTAATTAGTTGCCAAATCTTTTTTTAGAAACCAGACTTATGAAGTCCCATAAAGAACGGTTACCATATCTACTTAAATAGTTGGTGAAGCGTACATTTGCCTCGTAAGATTGCTGATGAGAATCAAGACCATTTTTTGCCAAATTGCTCACAGCTTCATTGGGAATTACTCGCTTATGTATTCATGTATTCATCTCTTGATCAGAGTTTCTTCTCTGGCATTCAGGTTTACCAGTGAGATATCTTTTGCTGCAAAAAAGTGAGGTGCTGTAGATCCGCCCCTCGAGGTTTAGGTCTAACTAATACGATTATTTCTGCCTCCAAGAAATGTTTGTCCAACTAAAACCCCAATTTGCATGTCACATATCTGCCCCATATAATTTGAAGCTATGACACTGTAGTTTGCACATGTATATGTCAAAATGCACTCATCATGCATGTTAAACATGCAGTGGCCTGTGGTTTTTTGTCTTTAAGCACCATATGACAATTCTGATTCAGGCAAATTGAGGATTTTTCAGATGGCTTTGAACCACCACTACAGAGCATAATGTTAAATAGATGTACTGCATTTTATTTAGCAGCCCCTTGTTTGTTCCTTTAATGTTCCACATACCCTCTAAAAATCAACAACATGCATTGTGTATCCTTCTCTTTTCTTTGCATCATCGTTAGTTATTTTGTCTGCTAGTCTGTAGAGTAACCCGAAGCGGTACAACTGCTTCGCACATTAGTATGCGCTCTAAACACATGCTTGTGAGCTGTTGAAACAGATTGACACTACCCTGAGGCAGGGGGCTAATCCTAGGTTTTTAGCTCTGAACAGGTACCTTCGCTCCGTGACATTGCACTCAAGCAGCTCTGCACTGCTTGTATTCATTTGAATTCCCTCTTTAGCCCCGGCGTAAATGATGGAGTAGCTGTAAACATGGACGTCCTCATGAGATTAGCTCTTGCTGATATATCGTTAAGACACAATTATATGTTATAGGATCACAGGAAAGAGCTTTGCCATAGGCTGCAGAGCCCAGGGGTGTTCTTAGCAGCATTAAGCACAGTGACTTATGACCATGCTACCATCCTCCCTGTTTTGGACAGGCGAGCTCTGGGGTCCGAGATGACTGATGTTCAATTTTAAATGTGAGGACGACATGGGGGAAAAGATAATCTTAGGAATCTTAAGACTGTGAATGATTTACTGGAACAAGAAGATAATCTGCATATGAAAGAGTTCTCTTGCTCTCAGTGTGGGATACGTCCTCCTCGACCATTCCTGAGTTATATCACTGCCAACGTTCACCAAATAGAGACGAAGGCAGTATTTCCACGATAGCCACTTGAACCTAGAGAAGAAGAAGAAAGCTTTACAACTGTGCCACTGCTCCCTGTGTTGGCATCAGAATGCAGGAGGGATCTGGCTCCCTTTGATCGTCAGAAGTCCGCCCATGCGTGCAATGAAATAAACATGTTGTTGAAGTGACATTTTAAATGTTGGTCTAAAATTGACATCTAAATAGCCAAAGAACGCCTTGATGGCTCATTACCTCTGGTTGACATTCTCATCAGAGCAGTTGTGAAAACATCTTGGTTGGCCTGGTTTCTTTTAAGTCAGCCTTCTATTAACTTATCATGCATTTTCCTTTAAATGGAAACAGCTGTAATATCATAACTGAGGAAAGTTGTGCATTTTGAAAATATGAATATGAAATGCAAGAATTGGAAATACCCCGGCGTCACTGCTGTTTGCAACAGTTGCAGCACTTTTTCAATAACAGGTTTGAATAGAGTTGCGTAGGCAGAGAACCACCTACTGGGATGCTTTTGAACCAGGGCAGCGTCTGGCAGTCTGTCTGAGCTACGTTGTTGTGTAGCCAGAGCTACTCTTAGCTATTTTATTGAGTTTCCTGTGGGTGAAATGCTCTGAGTGACTTTTAGTTTCCTCTGGTAAACAGCTATGCGTTGTGTACTTTATATGTCGGGCTTTTTGTGTGAAAGGATGAACGTAAACAGTGGATCTGGTCTGCGCTGCCTTTGTAAATGTTAAAAGGAGTACAAAACGTTGCTGTCCCAGTTTGGACTACGGAGCCTCCGGGTTGTTGTACACTAGTGTACGTCGTGAATACGCACAACCTGATTTGTTGTTGCCTTTATTCACGGTGCGAAAGCTCAGAAAAATCCACCTGGCTCTGAAAAGGCAGCTTTTTTTGTTACGTTATTTTGGCATTCTATGTGAAAGTACTTAGTACTAAAGTAATAGTTCGAAAAATACATTGGTGTGCCAATTAATGGCACAAAAAAGCCCACCCCTGATGTGTAAGGGCATTAAAGAGAAAGTCCACCTGAACACAAATATTAATGTTTCCAAGTTTAACGTTTTAACCTTAAAATGACAAAGAGATGGAGGCTAAAACATGCTACTCCAGTGAACACATGTACAAGAGTACAAATAGTTTGTTATATTTCCGTGTCACACACCTCTTAACTGCAGGTTAGATTGACCAGTCAGCTTGTTTGATGCGAGGGCTGCATGGCGTGTTGAGAATTGGAAAAGGTACCAAAAAGTTGCTTTTCCTATTTGTGTACATCTAACAAGTTTGTTTTTGTGTTGTGTATTAAGCATTACTACCTCGCTGGGCTGCAGTACTCGAGGCTTTTATTCTTGTTGATCAGTGCACTCCAAGGCTACAATGAAAACAAAACAAATATTGTATTTCAGTTTGAATTCTTTATATTTCCCAGAATGCCAGAGTAAGGGGCTATTAGCTACGGAACAAATGTTGTTTGATTCAGGGTGTCTGATGCCAAAAGCTGACGTTAACTGAAGAAAAGAAAAAATATTTCTGGAAAGTGATCATTACACGATACAACACATCTTGTACTTATTCTAGTTTCCTACAGAAATAGGAAAATAAATCACAAAATAATCTTACTTTAAAACAAATACGATTCATCACCAGAAGCAGTAATTAAAGTGTTGTTGTTTTTTTCCCCTACAAGCCAAAAAAAAAAAAGTTTTTCATCTTGACAAAGCAAATGCTTAGCACCTAAACTCTCTTACTGCTGGAAAGCCTTCACGCTCTTATGAGCCTGAGCTTTTAATAAATCATGACAGCATTTCTACTGAGGCTGCTGGGTACACTTGTAAGCAATCCAAGCTAAAAAGAAAATAGTTTATTATTTCAAATAAATGCAATCCTGGCATTAATACCCCTATACCATTTCCGTCTCTCATGCCAATTGAAAATTGTCGACTTAACTATATTACTCAGGAGAATGAGTGAATGCCGGATTAAAGGTGTAAATAGGTCATTAGGAGATAAATTAGGGAATACACAGTCAATGCTCATTTCGTGCTTGAACTCATGAGGGGAGCAGCTCAGCCCATTTCTGCTTTGTATGCCACAGGCTGCTCTGCTTCTAGTTGGATAACAGCGTTGCTAGAAAGCCATTACAACAGTACAAACACTGCCAGCAGAACATCGCCTTTTGTCATTATTAAAAATTGAAGATAATTGCTCTTGACTTAGAAATATGTATTTTCGGAACATTCTTTCAAGACCTAGAGTCCATTTAAAAGCAGCGGGAATTATTCTCTCCGTGTGCTGCAGGACTTTGAGAAATTAAAGCAGCGTAAGAACATCCCCCTTCGACTTGTGCTGTGTCTGCACTTTATTCATTTCACTGCACGCTTTTGGTCTTCTGGATCTCTTGTCCTCAATGTAAGGTTTTGTTTTCTGGTTTGATATACATTTAGTAAAGTAAGTAAATATGTGATTTCTAAGGCCTCAGTGCAATTGGTAAACTAAAGCCGTGGGTTAAAGGACCTGCACCGGAGGCATTTAACCAAGTACTATTCGACATAAATGGGCCCTCTACCACAGTCCTCTGTGGCTCTAACGTGGGTCAAAAGACCTGAAGAAGTTATTGTTCAAAGTGGGCATAAAGCAGTTGTAAAGGTACATGTAATCGCCGTTGCAACTGCATCACAATTACTGTATGATTTAATGTGAAGCAGTGCAGTCAAATCAATGGTACATACTGTATAAAACTAAATAAAAATATAGTACAAAACACAACTTCTCAAGCACTTGTAGCTCAGTCTAACCTGAAAATCTTGAAATCTTTCAACCAGTAATTCAAGAAACATCTGCGTACTGGAGACCACCACCTGACAACAGTGAAATCTTGATGACCTCTTGTGTTTACTTTTAAAGAATGCTTCTGGAGTGGATACATACGGTCATGTTTTCCTTTCCCAATAGGTACATCCTGGACAGCAAAGAGGAAGGACTGAGGTACTTCAGAATCGATGAAAGCAGTGGACTTATACGGACGACGCAGCCTCTGGACAGAGAAGACATAGCTTGGCACAACATCACTGTGATGGCCTCGGAGGTTGGTAGGTACCCCGGTTGCTTTCCATAAACACAATGTTTACAACGTGATGCCGCGTCTGTTTGCTCTCGTGTGAGTGTTCATGAGTGAGCAGACGATGGTTTTGCTGAATGTCTTGCCATGTCGACATGCTTCTTCTTACTCCCTGTTGAACAAACTGATTTATTTTTCATTTTGCATAGTTTAGGAAAGTCTTGAGACTTGGAAAAAGGTTCTCGTTCTTCCCTTGGTGCTTTTATGAAATCCCAATTTTAATGTAATTGTAGACACACAATTTCATCATGTTTAGAGGATCTGTATCTTTGAATAATCTATATATTTTGGAATTAAAAATTGCTGTGCATACGGGTCACATATACATATTTAAAAAGCCAGGATATGCAGTATGTTTGACACCTTCGGGCACTGCAGTAAAGACACAAATTGCTATTATCCAGTTGCCTAAATGAAGCAGTTAAAATAGATTGCTCTTGCTTCCCACACTCATCTTGTTTAGCCCCAAGCTAATGGAAGACATTGTAAATCGTAATCAGAATTGCATTGAAAATGGGTGAGCTTTGTGCTACGACAGCATGATTTAAAGACTAGAAAGTCAAAAGCAATGATAGGTGCTATAGTTCTACCCAGAGGCTTTTTTGTCCACCTTCCCCACAAGATAACAAGACACCCTGAGTGGATCGTAGAGTCAGAGCAGTCCGGCTTCAAAATCATAGTGTGTAAAATTGGAGTCAAAATCAATATCAACAAAAGGAGCGATCCATAGAAAGCAATGGCTTTATGAATCTCCACTGCACACTGTTCCGCTACCAACAGAATAAAACCACCAGCACTGATAGATATTCCCTTCGCTGGTTTGATCAAACTCACTTCGACAGGAAACCGCGTTAACGAACACACATCCGCTGCAGGACCCTCGTGGGCGAATTCACAAAGACTGGATGATAGGACCAAGTTTTGTGCATCACTCACCGCAAAATATATTGCGCTAGTGATATAACGTCACGCTCTCAGTTTTGCAGCTGATTGCAATTGCCCATGTGGCCTTTTGCGGCAAGTACACAATGGCAGAACAATGGCAGAGGGAAGAAGAAAAAGGCATTTTTTAGGGCCTGGCCGACGAGGCATTCCTCAAAACTTCAGACAAGGAATGTAAACGTGACAGAGAGATTCAATTAATGTGCTTCAGTTACCGGAATGTTTTTGTAAAGAGGCTAATTTGCATTAAAAAATTAGACAATTTTGGGGCAAAAGTATTAAATACGGAGGAGCATGGAATTCCATTTTGATTGGCAGCAAAGTTAAGGATGCATTTCACCCTTCCTTTTTGTCTTACTTGTGCAGGTTTATTGTTTGAGGGGCAAATCACTAAATGATTGAGAGGCTTTTTCAGTCGTTCCACATTTGGAAAGAATGCAGAAAAACAAGGGGCATAAGCGTTCGAACCCTTACAACTGCAATAACTGCTGTTGCCTGCAGCTATTCAGCTAACCAGTTCAGTGTCTCTACTTTCTTTTTGCTCATTCCTCTGACTCCAACTAGTCTGCTAAATTGTATTTAAGGCTCACAGTGAAGAGAGAAAAGGCATGGTGCAGTTCAGTGAACTTTTCCTATACTTGTCCCGTTTTTTGGAGCTGCAAGATGTTTCAATAGCATTTTGAACACTAATACTCTGTGAAGGTATTTAAACACAGCCCAATAACAGATGAGTTAGTAGCTAAAGTAACAATTAAAGTCTGGAGAAAACAAGGATGAAGGAGTTCATTTGCATATTGATTAGAATGTATACAAATTCCATTAGAGTGTATTTTTCTCATAATTAACTCCAAAATCAAATTAGTCCCAATTGTTTCAATGTCCTTCTCTACATTGAAAATTAATTAAATCAATGCCGGCCCGGCTAAATTCAACAATTGTTATCGGGTGACTTGGGTAATTTGTAATCACAATTAGGCAAATGTCTTGCCGACCGACAGAGGCGCTGCATGCTAATGGTTCTTTATCTCCTCTCCTTAGTATTCAGGGAACATTTACAGGCCAAGACATTGTCAGAAATGGAACAATACATTTATACAACTCTGAATGAGCAAAGACACACAGTGTTACCTTCTAATGTAGATCGACTGTAGGGAATGAGTGAATTAAAAGTATGAATATGTGACTGAATTGTATTGTTGATTTATTGGTACAATGTGAGACCTTCTTCAGGCGCTGACAATATACCACCTATGGAAAATTGTATGCAAAAGATAAAGCAAACAAAAATCTTGAAATTTAATAGACTGCCGCACCTGCCGGACTTTTTCCCATTCAAGCAATGTTTTGCTGAGCGAGCATGTTATTATTCAGCGATGTCCTGCTACACACTCGCACTGTAAAACACGCTCACACCTGGAAGCTACCCAGTGAAACCAGTCTACTGCGCCACGGTTTGTGGGTGGAATGCCTTGCTCTAGAGCTCTTCAGTAATATATCTGAAGCTAGAGGAAAATCATGGGAAACCTTTACCACGCCGAGGGGCAAATTCAAGGATTGTGCAGCTTTTGCAAATAAGACAAAAATAAACCGTGTGAGTCTCAAATGGCAAAATGCATCCTTAACTGCACTGCCAAGCACAGCTTGCCTGCTCCTGTGCTATATGCACATATTTATTTCAGGTAATATTCATAAATTTGGCGCAAAATCCCCCTCCTTTCTATGAAAATGAGTCTTGTTGCAAAAACAGTTCAGCGCTGATAGCCAACCGCTTTTACAGTGATATTATTTGCGTCTTCAGTGGGTTGGTGGTAACTGAAGCGCATGAGGGGTGTCTGCTCACCGTCATTGATTTTGGGAAGCAGTGACAGTTGTGTCATAACAAATTTATGAATAAAGCTCCCTTACATGTAATTTTTGGAAATAGTAGCGGGAAAAAAAGAGATTTGAATAATGACTGTAGCTACTCTGCTGTGCTCCGTGCGTTAATGCGCACATCATCTCTCTGAACACCCACATCGTCTCCGCTGCCGTGGGACCGCTGCAGGTATTTTTTATAAACTCAAAAAAATGTCTCAAACAACTCTTAAATAACAAAAAGTATTTAATCATCTTCTCATTAATGATGTATTATTTCACCCAGCGACGCAGAGGTGCATATGGGCACAAATGCAGAAGATAACTCAAAGTAGGCTGAAGCCTCCTATGAGGCTGAGTCTCACCCCTCCCAGCCGACTCATCGGCCTCAAGGGCATTTATACTTCATTGTATTCAAACGCAGAATAACCTAAACATTTCTCTCCCACTTCTAGGAGCACTTTCGCTTGACATTACTGCCCTCGTGGCACTGCAATGCTTTACGGATATAAGTGTCCACCGCATGGCATATACCGCAATAAAAAACGTAATCCAAGAGTGCAAATCATAATTCAAACTACATTCACGTACCTCAGTGAATTAGTGGGCTATTTTGTTGCCATTAAGGCTGCCACTTTATGTTAAAATGAAGGAAGGTAGGTCATTTGATTTCCATGCCTCATGAGTTGCTCATGCAGCGCAAGGGGCAAATAATCGCAATCACAACCGAGCACACCAACTGGGACACGAAAATGCTGCACGAAGACGATCAGATGTGCTTTAATATACAAAATTGCCTTCTGCAACGTTGCGTCCCTCAGTGCTTTTATAGTGGCAGAGTCTAAGACAAAACCCATGAGCAGCCTAAGAAGAAGAGCACAGCATGTCCCAGTTTGAAATCACAGTGTCGATGCTCTACTTTGTCATTAAGGCTTACATTTGACTTTCATCTTCTTTGTCGCTTGTTCTCTCCCTCTGCTACAGACAACCCCAGCCTTCTCAGCCACGTTCCCGTTACAGTCCAGGTGCTGGACGTGAACGACAATCCGCCAGAAATAGCCACAGACGAGGAGGTCATCGTGTGTGAGAGCTCAAGGCCGGGACAGGTGAGCGTCTCGGATTCACCTAGAAAAATATGATCCACCTATCTCTGGTCTCTTTCTCGCCCTCTATCCGCTCGCACATTCACATCTCTCTACACTGCTCGCACGCCTCAAAGTTCCTGAGTGCTGTGCATTAACCTCGGATGCACTGACTACATGCATTCTGCACTCAGCTATTGTTTCCCTCAGCAGTTTTGGGTGGCTCACTGAGAGCTGAGCAGTAAGCATTGGGGGAGAGCTGCTCGATCATCCCTCATTCAAAATGAGTATCTCAGCGGCAAACCATGACAGCTCTAAATCGAAGCTCATTCCAACTTGCTCTCAGTAGTCTTTGATTCATTCAAATTAAGAAGGTTTTTGAGATATAGAGCAATCCGCAGCATGGAAATGGCTGAAAGGGCAGTTCGGCAAAGGATGATGGAGTAAAGAGCGGGAAGACACAACTAAATACATTTTTAATAGTTTTTAGCCAGTGGAAGAAACGTTTGAATTAAGGTTTGCATTAAATTTGAATTAACTCTGCGTTACAGCCTCAGGGTTTCTCGGCGCAGGGGATTAAGTGGGGATGATTGTAATGTGTTGAGTGAGACAGTGGCACACCAACATTCAAATGACAACTTATGTGAAAGAAAAGAGCTGCTCATTAATGTTTTGGATTCAAATTTTCATACCATATATTTCCTATTGGTTGGCAGGTGTCCATCAAAACACCTCGTTCCAATTAAGAGTTAAATCTCTGCAGTAAATCAGGGCTCAAGATATATTAAACTGTGGGCAGCCATAGCAACAGGACTCCAGTAAAATGGAACTATTCGTTAATTAAATGACCTCTAACACAGCTTCCCTTCATCTTTGATTGCCGGCCTTGGCGATACACATGAACACACTCCAGGGTGCTCTGTTATCGAAATTAACACACATCATTATTGTCATTATAAGGCCATCATTATAAATCCACATAAACATAGCTTCAGTGTTTAAAGCAACTCTAACCTTATACGTATAACTTGCAGGGGTATAATGATTTACAATATTCACATTCTGACTTAATTCAAATTCAAAAAATTTGGAAATCAAGGTTCAAGATTTGTCAACATTGAGATTGACGTGTTTGCAGGTAAATGATGAAAAGAACTGATTTAGGGTCAGATTTGTTGATCTATTCAGCCAGACCTTTGATGCATAATGGATATGGAAACACACTCATTCTTACATTATTCTGTTTCAGTTGTATATTTGTATTCTATTTTATTAATCTAGTTTTTATTTTACGCTGTTTTACTACTGTTATCAAAGTTTTATCATTTTATTCTTCTGAGTGCATTGTTGTTTTCACTGTCCACACTTGTTCCGTCTTTATCTCCCGCTTCTCAGTAACCTGTGAAGCACTTTTAAATGCACTGACCTATATGTGAGAGGAGGAATCTTGTCAACTCAACAACTACAGCCCTGTACCGCTCAACAGTTTGCAACTGTTAATTACTTAATGCAAATACTAGATGTATGCTACAGTACGTTTACACCCACCACCAGCAGCCAGACGAGCTCACACGTTTCTTAAGACATCCGTTATCATTGTCCTCTAAACCTAAAATTTGCATTATGGTTAAACCACTTTGCACCCACTCAGGAAACAATCATGTGGTGATGTTTCCTCAGGCAGCCATTTACAAGCAAACAGACAATTGTATTGCTTACTCTGGTTTTCTAGACGTCCCGCTATCCTGGTTTTTAAGACTAATCAAGTGGCAGTTAGCTGCTATTTCACATTGATGGAAAACAAATTGATCACAACTTAACTTTGTCGCCAGTATTACCTGAAAGAAAGAGAACTCTGGCCTTCTCAGACAAAAAGCTCCCACCAGTGGCACCATGTCAACCTTCGACATCCACATAAGGAACCTCAAGCACCCAACAAAGCACATCCTGATACTGCACAGTTAAAGTCAGAGGCTTGTGCGAGTACACCAGGAGCACAACCACAAGGCCACTTGGTGTTCTTTGAGGGAACAAAGGCCAAATACCAGCGCAGCAAGGCCATCAAATATAACAATGACTTCATGTCCATGGAAGAAATACATTTAACTTAAAAGGTTATGGATGATTTTGTTTTTAATACTAAAATTCAGTTTATTCCACAAAACAGATTTCTAAAATACATTTACAAATGACCAATATTTGCAAGTTGTTTATTGTTGTTATTTACTACTTTATTGTGCTGTAGCCACCTGAAAGTCCAGATATGAAAGATTCCAGTTCATAAGAACACATTCATCCTCCTAATTATATACTTCATATACAGTGCGTGTGCAGCAGGGGTGAATGCTTGCATTTCTTCTCCTAGAGATTAGCGGATTAGCTTCTGAGATGCACTGTGGCTCGTCTGGTTTGTCTATAGAACTTGAACATAATTACAATAATCATATATATACACTAGAGGTACATACATGAAATGTGACCTTTTGCATTTAATCCATCCAGCAGTAGGCTGCTGTAAAGCATCCAGGGAGCAACTTGGGGTTCAGTGTCTCTTTCAAGGACACTACGACATGCAAACAGTAGGAGCTGGGGATCGATCTTTGAGGTGCTAGAGCAGGTCGTGTTTTGTGGTGAAAGGGCGACCCTCTCTACCCACAGAGCGGCTGTGATCAGCTCCAGCGGCACACGTTAAACTGTCATAAATTGCCCGGTTTTCCTGTGGTTCACACCAGGCTCAGAATCTCAACAAAAGACACTTGGTGTCTACAAACAGTATTGACAGGAAAGAGGCAGAGGAGCGGGCGGGGCATCAAGGCCACTGGCCGATGGGCATACATTTTTCAGAAGGACATCAGGACCATGGCGCCGGTGACATTCCTGTCCTGAGCACAACACCCCCCCCAAATCTCACATTGCAGATAAGAACTCCCTGTGGTGACAGAGCCATCGGGTCGTTTTTCTCTCAAGGCCATCTCTCTACCTGCTCTCACTGTGTCTTTTACTAATTAGGGGGAGCAAGTTGACAAAAGTGGCAGTGAGGTTGCCCTGAGAGTGTTTAGGTAGGAGGAGAAAATGTTGCAAGACCAGTTGGTTGTAGGTCAGAGGAACTGGACTCTGACGAATTATGATCAACCAATCGTAAGACATGCATGAGGAACTACACCAGCTCCTTGTCCTGCCTGTAACTAGAGCGAAAGATGATTCTGCTGAATGGTGCAGCGACTGATTGAATGCGTGTTGTCTTCTGAACAACAGGTGATCCAGACCGTCACAGCGGTGGATAAGGACGACTTTGCCAACGGACAGCGGTTTTCCTTCGCTTTGCCAAGCCTGCTACCAGTTAATCCCAACTTCACCCTGAAGGACAACGAAGGTAATTAAAGTGATCGATATTGTTTGTTTGCATTTCTTATGAGTATTGCACACCGCCTTCGGGGCAGGACTCCATCCTCATTGGTCACATTCTAAAGTCCAATAAGCCGTACGGATTTCCTCAAACCAAGGAGGCGCGATGAAAATATGCGTTATGTCAACCTGGGCCACCAGGATCTCCTCTGAGTCGGATCTCATAAAACACAAGCGCAATAGAGGTTTGGCATGTTTGCGCATCATGTTGTCAAATGGATAAACCGCTCTGGCGTCCCCCCCCCCCCCACCATCTTTCCCCTCCTCCATCTCAGTCTTAGGTGAATTCCGAGCGCCGGGGTCGGTCTGCAATCACAGGGCTTTTAAAAGATCTCAGCCCAAAGATCTCACAGTTGCCCACTGAGAGGGGGAGTTCACAGCACTCCAGATGAATCTCTGCGCCATGAGAGAGGAAGAGAGATCACAAAAAATCAATGTGATAATAGGAGATAAGTCTGTTTAGCCCTTGGTCCAGTTGCTTCCCACCACAAGCCACAAGCCTTGCCTACATTGAGTTACAGTGGAAAGTTTTGCTGCGTTCATGTAAGTGGCACTTAGAGACATCCCTCACCTCCTGCCCACCTCCACTCCTGAGGGGTGGATGAATCAAACAAAGCAGGCTTTTAGATTGAAAACGTAGAACTAGTTGCATCAGCAGTTTGCTTCTGTTTTACACACGTTAAACCTGGTCGAGCAGCTCTGAAGAAGTGGAAGTGTGATGATATTTGTCGGGTGTAGATGATGAAATATTAAGTATAATATTTTTCTGTTATTATAGTCATTACCTACTGCAGAAGCCCTCGTTCCCCGTGGGGAATTGAAAAAATGAGAACACCGCGCTGTTATTTTAACACCTCTTTTTGGGTGTGACTTTTTTTGTAAATGTTGTGAAAAAAATACGAATTTTTCCTCGCTTTGTCACTTCGTCTGTCTAGAATGTTCCTGAGAAACACGAGGAGGGACACCTCCACTGTTGCCTGCAAAACATTTTCTCGCTGATTTGCCGTATGCCGTGTTCACAGAATCACAGTGTGAACTTGAAGGAACACGAATAGATGCCAATACCGAAAAAGAAGACATTCAACCAACAATTGCCACAGTGATGGAGTCATTCGGTGCTTCTGTTGCCCCCTCTTTCATTCTTTAGAATTAATAATATATTTTAACATAATAAATTGCAGAACTCGCGATCCCGGCAGGTTTTTTGATGGCAGCTTCTGCTCGGATCTTCCAGGACAAATATGTGGGACCAGAGTCCATTGATCAGTGTCTTGCAAAGGTCCGCTTGGTTCTTGAAAACCAGGGCACCCTCCTGGAGCCAGGCCTTCCAGACAAGCGCCTGGTGGTCAGGTTATACATTTTGGACAGGTTGGGCCGGTCTACTTTGAGTGCACGGAGCAAATACAGCTCTTAAAACTGATTTTCAACCCAAATACCGGCATTTGAAAACGTTCCCCACTCTTGCAGAGTGATTCTCTCAAAAGCTGTTGGATTTATTTCAACGTAGTCATCTGCAGCAAAATATTCCCAAAGCAATTCAGGAAGGAAAGCCTTCTTTCTTGAAGGATTGATCGCAGTTTTTTGGTTCATGCTGTTTGAGTAATGGTGCTTTTCAATTTGGATTTAGCTCCTGCTGCATAACATCCCACAGGATCTTTTTTTTGTTTTTTTTTCCTCATCTGTGATGTAATCCCATGTGGGATGGGCCGATTATGTGTCACGACATGGAAATAAGAAACGATTCATATTAAAATAATTTGTCAGTGAGAAGTGTGAAGAAAAGAGAACTTTATGAAGGCCATGGTGTTAAAGATGATGATCCCTCTGGAATAAAAAGGTCATATCACTTACAGATCCTGAGATACTTATGTTTCCTCCCACGGCTTCCTTTCTTTAACCAGGAAAGCTGTTAAAGAGCATGATCTGATTCAGACGGTTAGTTGACCAGATGAAAGGGAGGCGGCTGCCCAGTAAAGCCTCCAACTTGTTCTGTTGACCACAGAGTAGCTGCACTGGAGCAGTTAAATGCCTTGATCAAGTGCACTCTTTAACCTAACTTTCCTGGACATTTTTCTTGTTTCTGCCCGACAGAGACAGTATTACAGCATTTAGCCTATTTGCTACATGTCTGACTTGTTGGGCTGTGTAATTTGCTTGCCTACCCATGTCTTGCATGTATAATTCCTTGTCCACCTAGAATGGTTCATATTACTTTTTTCCCCCTTTTAATTCCTCTTGGCTCATCCGCATTTTCGAAACACCAAACTCCCTCTTAATGTTAAGCCGCTGAACTCCTGAGTTCACACTACTTCAGTCATCTTCAGTCCCTTGGATCCTGCATTTGAACTCCCACTCAACAGAAGTGTCGGAGTCATGCTGCGTCCTACAGCCGCTGTGTATTAGAAGTTATTTGCTGTATTCACAATAACCGGGTGAGAGAGAGAGAGAGGCACAATGCACCATGCTGTCGACTCCTGTGTCTGATAATTAAAGTAAGCCCTTCGCACTCCAAGCAGCTTCTTTCATTGCTGTTGCAGCCGACCAACTGTTGGTAGCTGCTCCGTGCCAGCCCCTAATACCTCCCTCTGTTGTTGTGCAACTGACGAAAATCCCTCTCAGTCACTCACACGACTAACTCTCTCATGACCTCCTTTCCTCCTCACTTACAGATTGCTCACAATGGATCTCAATGAAAGTTGGATTACTTTTTTTTTGTGACTCTGTGTGCATTTTCTTGCTGTAGGAAAAAAAAGGATTTAGTTTAAAACACTCTGATATGTTTATAACGAGGACCATTTTTTTCTTTGTTAAATAACAAATTGATTCCTCATTTAATTCAGGTAATTTAACAATCACGACTTTTAAAAGAACCCATTAACTAAAGCATCATTTGCAGGAAGCTATTTTCTGCACTTCCAACCATATCAGATGTGTTAAAAGCTAACATCTTGTTATAATTGGTGCTTTTCCTACAAAGACCTGTAACAGCTCCAGCTGTTTAACAAAGTCAGATCAATATAGCCGTCGAGTGTCAATTCTGAGCTAAAAGAAGAAAAGACAGATTCAGTCCTTAGATTTAGATCACGGCCTTTCTCTTCATGTGATCTTTGTTTGCGGGGATGACGCCAAGGCTCCCGAGTAGTCTTGAAGATGTGTTGATGCATTTGAAGTGCTGGATGTGCGACGTTAAATGCAGGTCAAACTCCTACAGCATATTACGCACCATTAAAGCTGCAAAACAAGGGGGGTGCTTCTGCTCAGCTGCTCCAGGAAAGCACTTTGTGACAAACCTGTTCTGTTAAAAGCCTTTTAAATATATTCAACTTGCCTACTTTACAACGAATGCTGCTTTGATCTCGTTATCTGTCACATTGAGATGACATTTGCTTCTAAAAAGGCAATTAAATGGGGGCTATGATCTCTAAATGAGCCACATACTTAAGTAGATCAATTGATATCTGAAGGCATCTTCCTCCAGTGTGCATACAGAGGAACTTATAATGTCACAGTTAATCAGCTGTGTTAAAAGAAGCGCTGGCAAGACATTGATATGCGGGACGTTTAATTAGCTTTTATGTCATTCAACCTTCACATGCAATGGGTGGCGTACATCTTGATTCCCAAACACCCATTATCTGCTGAAGCAGCATCATTTGTGCAAAGAGGGCAGAGCAGCTTGTCTCGTGCTGGTTTTGTCAAACGTTGAAGAGCAAACAGCTGGTAATTGTCAGAATTTCACATATATGATAAGCTCTCCTCTTATTATTCAAGCAAAGGTCAGATATTTCTCTAATTACTGTTTATGATTTTAAGTTAAACCTATATAAAATGTATTCACGTGTGTGCAGTAAGGCCTCGGCAGCCGTTGTGAAGCCATTTGTTCCTGCGTAACAGAGGAGCATAATAGGACTCTGCAGCCCTCTTTTAATTGTTACTGCAGAAATGTACAGACCGACTCCGAATTAACTCAAATGCACAAAACACAACCTTATGGAACAACCGTATCATACTGTGACAGTGTGAATATGCTGTAAAACAATGCAGTGGGCAAACAAAGTGTTTTTATTTTAAAAAGCAGCCCGTCACTGCCGGGCATGTTTTGTTAAGTTAAGCCTTACTGAGTCGGACTGATCCGTATTGAACGCAGGGGCTTCTTTTAAAGGAGATTGTTATGTTTGTCTCTTGATCTGCTGTTTGTAATTTTCTGCATGAAAGACCTTTTTATTTCGGCACACAATGATATTAATGTTTGAACAACACTGAGCCGTTAATCAATATTCAGAGCCATCTTATAATAATACCTAGACTTATGACGGTATATGTATTTGCCTTGTTCTGTGTGGTAGCAACCAACTTATGTATAACTTATGTATTATCAATATTACTATTCTACTGTATATAATTAGTCTAATACAGACTTGCAAACTACATCTTTAGCTAGAAAGCTTGGTCAGTATGATAGTGGGTAACTGTTGGCTAGCAGGTGCTGATCTTGGGCGGTTCTGTAATAGTTTCTGTCACCACTACACTCAGTCAACAGCCAGTTTAAACTTTGAAACAGGATTTAGGGAAAAGTTAGTGCTTTAGAGCTGCAAAGATCGACTGGTCAGTTAGCCATCCCCAAACATTAACGACACCACCTTTAGAATTTGACCGCATATATGGTCTGCCCCAAAATAGTGCCATTCCGTCGTGCTCCGACTGGCAGCTGGAGAGAAGATTCGTGCTGAATCCCATAAGCGGCACCTACACACACACCCACAAGTTCACAAGGAATCCAGCTAAGTGCATGTGTAGGCAAGTGTGAAGTCCGTAGAGACGTGGTTGCATCGCGTGTCTATTGTCGATATATATTTTTGGTTGTCTGTTTTACAGTGAGTCAGCTCCTCAACAAAGATATCTGCATTCACTATATAGCAAATGTCTTAAATGTCTTAAATCTCAATGTAATTGGGCATTTTATCATATCAATTCATACTGTAACTCAGATATTTTATGTTTCTACATGCACGTTCCTCAGGGTAAAGTTTAAATGTCACTAAAGTTTAGTGACAACAGATACATACTCGTACTGTAGTATTCCTCTAAAATTGTCAAATTTTTGCATTTCCGACAACTTTTTTTATCTGCTGCTGTGAAATCTCACTGAACTTCATACCTTGAGATGGAGAGACAGGAATCCATGCGTGAATGCATGCAAGTGCATTGGGAAAAGTAAAAAATAAAACACGAACGATGAACATATTACGAATATTAATATATATATTTTTATATGTGATAGAAACCAGATAAAAAAGGAAAATTGCTTGCTGGTGATGTGCAAAATAGCACAGATCTAAATGTTCAGGATAATTCCCAACGAAGTGTGAAATGCTCTTAAAAGCATACGTTCCCTCACTTCCTGTGCGGTCACCTGGCGCCGCGGGTAATGTCACGTAGCGGGGGCTGTCACAACAAACGGTTAGCCTGTTGCTGTGCTAACTCCTGCAGTCTCTCCTCACATGTGGGCACCACGTGGCTGCTGATGGTCCATCTCACTGCGGCGTTAATCAGCGAACACTGCAGCTCTACCCGCTCCCACCTGCGACGAAGAGGCGGTTTAGTGTGAAATTTGCATGACATAATTGATGTGCACTTCCTCGCTGTGGTCTGTACAAGGACCCGCGCTGCCTCGGGTCTGTGTGAAAGCAGTGACAGCCGACTCCACACGTATACATGGCTTGTTTGTCTCTCTCTGTCTCGGCCTCTCGTGTTCTCTGCTCTTATTGGCACTTTCACACACACACACACACCCTCCTCCGTTCACCCCCCTCTCTTCCACTCATCTCCCCATCTCTCTTCCTTGTTATTTGCATCTCTCACATTCCACTCTCTCACCACCACCCCCCCGCCCACCACCACCCACCCATCTGCTTGCTGATACGGTGATACTGCGAGTCTGACTTAATAAAGCTTGAAGTACGTGTTGTCATTCCAGCTGTCGATCATTGTAATTATTCATAGATGGAGCAGAGATTGGAGTGGGAGGCGAGGTCTCTGAGCAGCAGTACGAAAGTACAGCACGACGGAGGTGTTTTTGCTGGATGGAAAGGGAAAAGGTTACCCTGTGCACGATTCAGCATTTTTTCGGAAGTTATATATCAACGTGTCATATGCAAGTTTCTAGTGAGTCTGTCATGGGAAGCGCAAGTTAGTCATCCAGGTTCCTTGAATCACCTAGCCATACGTTTCAATTAACAGGGATGATTTGAATTCTGTGCTGTGTTAGTGCTCGATGTAGTCCATCAGGCTAAAGCTATTTGGACGCCCTGCAGATACAGACTGCTGATCTCCTGCTGAGATAACCCCTTTCAAAAGAGCCTACACGTAGCAGTGAGCGTTGCATGTTAGATTCTTAAACGGTAAACCCTCAGTCCAGCCCGGCGTGTGAAGTGGTCGTGTGATGGCCTACGTGTTGGTGTAAGCTACTTAGCAAGTGTTGAACGATCCTAACGTGCAAAATGAGCTTAGTCTGTGCTGATATAAAAAGGAAAGAACTGAGCAGGGGCTATTTTTGTGCAGGTTAAATAATGAACATCCTTAGCTAATGTTGGAAAAGAGACATTTTAAAATCAGCAGATCTTTTTGCAGCTTTGTTAGTTGTTCAACCACAATCAAGCCTCGAGGAAGAGCGATGTTCTTTAAAGCTATTTCGACATAGTGGCCAAACAATGAAATAACAACTTCCGGTTCCATCACGCGACGCCATTGGGCCCAAAAAGACTATTTCCCACAGACGTACAGTGGAAAAGAGACGTGAGACTGTGAGATGCTCCAGGCTTCCAAGAACTCCGTTGTAAATCCATATGCGTCATTATCAGACGCTCAGACGGACCGAGTATGCAACGTAGGGGAGTGGTTTGACACCGAGTCAAATGAAGGCATGTCAACCTAACCGAGTACTTTTGGTGCCTAAACCTAACCGCTACCGTTTCACAATGTTAGCCAGCGCAACTCTTTAGCATCAAGATGTTATGCAAATGGCTAACGCTGGGGGCTTCTGCCATAGCAGCAAAATATACAGTAAGTAGGTATGAGATCATGTTTTATAGCTACAGGATACATAAGCAGTTCCTACAGTTGTAAAGTAGTTCCTTAAATGAACTGTGAGAATATTAAATCCCCATCTTTTACTTAGTAATGTCAGTAAAGTAAATATCTTCTAACGTTCTCCTCAATTGAAATGGCCTCTTTTGAAGCTCCAAAAAATAAATTCCTTCTTTGATTCATTTATATTGCTGTTTGTGTACAAACACAGATTTGAGTTCCAGGTGCACTGAATGAGTAGTCAGCTGTTCTCCCGTATCCTGTTGGCATTGGGTTCACCAGCACTCATGTGGTGCTGGTGAACAAAACAGTCTACGGTGGAAGTGGTTTTGAATCGGTGGACAACTGGACGATATATATGCCACCAGGTGGCTAATGGCAGCTGTGTTGTTACCCCTGTTCCTGAACATACAGAAGCTCGATATGCTCCTCACTGTTGGATGTTTTTTTTTAGCATATACACAATTAATATACATAAATATTTATTGAGACCCTTATTTATACAACCTCTCTGTAGTTCCACAATGTACTGATGTCAAAATACATTTGGCTGTTTCAATACAGCTACAGCAGTATATAGGACATTGGAAAGTAGAGTGCTGTGCAGACATCCCAACATAAACACATGGAAACAAGAATCCCTGTGGTGGCATACATTCATTCTGAAGGAATCAGAACATTTTTCATCGAGAATATTGATATGCGCTCAAGCCAATTAGAGTTGTTTCATCACATTCATTGCTGTGGTTCTGTCATTCAGGGGTTAAAGTGCACGCCCGGGAGAGAGTACAGACATAACAAGTAACACAACCGGCCCCTGTGTTGCAGCTGTGTACTCATTTGCTTCCTCCTCTTTTCATCGTACCTTCCTCTCGATGTCCCTCTTGTTTGCTTTTACTTCTCTACAAATTCAGCCCTTTTTATTTCTGTTTATCTACACGACAAGTTCCATTAACAGACGTGTTTCTGCAGAGGCCAAGGTGAACTGCTCTTTTGCAGCACATTTAAATAGTAAACAAACACCTTTGATAATAATTAGCCTTGGCACACAGGGAAGCCACAGTCAGACACGGGAAGAAATCCACCGGCTTGAGATACTTCAAAAGCAAAAGCTCCAATTCAAAATGGAATATATTGTGGGTTGGATTTAGTTTTTTTTCACCCTTAACCCTGAATGTCTGTTTGTATAAATAGGTAATTGCAGGCTTCGCTGAGAAGACAAAGCAAACCATCAATTAGTCTTTTTAGCCAAGGGGTTTATCCTAAACAAGTTGTTTTCCTTTCATTTCAGACAGCACAGCCAGCATCATTGCCAGGCGGCGGCGTTTCAACCACCTGACCCAGGATCTGTATGAACTGCCCATTGTGGTGTGGGACGGCGGGGAGCCGTCGCTGAGCGGCACCAGCACCCTGACCCTGCGGGTGTGCCCGTGCCAGAGCCACGGCAGGATCCGGATGTGCCAAGGCGAGGCGTTCCTCTCCTCGGCGGGTCTCAGCACGGGGGCTCTGATAGCCATCCTGCTGTGCATCGTCATCCTGCTGGGTAAGTTGGAACAGCCGCTGCAGGGACTGCAGCAGGGGGGAGCCGCCCGGGGGCAAATATCCCGAGGGCATGGACGGAGGAGATGAACCATAGAGGTTCTGACAAGGGCAGAGGAGGAGAGAGGGATGAAAAGACACGTGAGGACACAGGTAGAATGAAGAATGAGGGTAGAACAAGTTGAAGAGGGCAGAGGTGGAAGAAAGAGAAAAGCTTGTGAAGGACAGAAGAGGAGGACACAGAGAGAGGAGGCTGGAGGAGAGGTGACTAGAAAGAAGATGGGAAGGACAAAGATGAGTGGAATGGAGATTGCAGGGTCAGTATGATTCAGAGAGGAGTTGTTTTCAACAAAAAAATAGAGAAAAAAAACCTACAGTGGTCGGGGAGTCGGACGTGAATCCTAGAGCAGCTTGGATTCATGTGCAGGCAGGCAGCTCCAATCAGAAACTCACATTAGACCTGAATCACATCTGTTGAAATTCAATTAAAATCTGCTCTTTTGCAATTCAACTGAATCTTCTTCCCCGTCGCTCCCTGCCCGGCACATGTTTGTCATTGCATAGTTGTGACTAGAGGGCGTGGAGCAACGTGGTGACAGCCGACACAGATGCCGCTGTACGTTGAGTTCATGTGTGACGGACATGAATATATGATTCCATCAGAAATACTGTGGAAAAAAATAAACGGGGTGGCATCCATGTTGCCAGCTCGTTGCGGCAGCTGGAGCACACGTCCCCGAATCGATGAACGTGCGTGCCTTGTTGCTATAGCAACCAGTATATTTGCAGCAACAGCTAACATGATTATATATAAACTTGCGAATTTGATCTCGGACACTTTAAAGTTGGGACGGTCGGCTTTACGGGTGGAAAACGTCTGGAAGGTGGCGCAAAATCCAAGATCAAAGAAACCAAAGTCAACAAACCTTCCTGTCAAATTACACTGAGAGATGTCGCGCACTAATTCCTTCCTCTGCAAACCACACTGCAGGAGGACATGATTGCACACAACTGTCTAATAACACGGCTTCACCGTCGCTGCTCTCCCCTCCTCTCCTCGGTGATTGTCTGTGGACGTTAGTGCGTGAAGGTTATGCATATTCATACTGCCTGTCTTCCTCCTCTACGCCAAAGCCTCTGGCTGAGGCGAACAAAAGGCCATCACCACTGTTTGGAGGGAACGCTTGAGTGAGAGACACACGCTGAATCCCTAATCATCAGCACAAGGCAGATACTAGAGCGAGCGAGAGAGAGAGAGAGTAATAGAAACAGGGAGAGACAGATCACACCTATTTTTTATGTGTGTGTTGCATTTTGGATTCACACTTTCCAGTTACAAGGGAAGTGTCTCACACATAGCTCAGCTGCTGGACAGAGGTCTGGTAACCCGTCACCTCAAGAGATAAGATAAGAGATTGTTAGTTGGTCGTGTTCAAAATACATCAGATTCAAATAGTGATCTAAGGTTGTGGTTACACTTGTCTCGTCTTTTGTAATGAGATGCACCAGATCGTGTTCAAAGGAGCGGCTATAAAACGGTGGATAAACACATTCTTCACAATACAAGTCCCCATTTGTTTTTGCTGCATGCTCTTCCTCCCTGCAGTCTTAGTCGACTTGATGTTATTGATGAATAGCCGCTAACAAAGCTCCGCTGATTCAAGACAGATTGACTTAAAATATTGTAATTATGACTTTTCAGTGTTTACCTTGTGTTATTTAAGTTTGGCTCTCCTTGAACTGAGATTTGTGCCTCGGGAAGTTCAAATGGAATGGCCTCTTGTTTGGATTAGAGACATCCTTTGACGATACACTCCTCCATAACCAGGATAAATGCAGCATAAATGAGACTCCTGCAACGGCTTCTGCTGCAGCAAATCAGTATCTGTAGACTGAGGTAATGCCCCAGATGCTATAAGTGGTGTACCGAGCAACAGCTAGACCTCAACTGGCCTTGGCGAGGCAAATTAAATGACCTGAATGGACCATTGAGGGAGGATTAATGTAGAGAGTGTAAGACAATATAGTGTGTACAGTGGATGGGAATATTCAAATAAAAGTAGATCATGAACTGTGGAAAGTGCAGTTTAATATACGAGATGCTGGTAAATAATAAAAGGTGCATTAACTGAGTCTTTATATTCAGGCCGTTTACCTCCAAACAGTGAGGTATTGAACTGTACATAGTGGGAGGAGGAAGTGGACAAAGACTTTGCAGCACGAGAAGAACGCAATTCTTTATTTCCTAGTTCTGCTCACTGCGATTGACCCAGCTCACCCTGCGCGCGCTCACAACCTGCATTGTGTAATTGGTCACTTTAAACAAGCCGAGCGATAAACACCGTCCCAGACAAATTGCGTTTTCACCCTCTCTAACCCCAATCGGGCAGTGCCAGTGCACCAGGTGGAGTGAAGAGAATTTGTTTTGTTTGTTACGTTGATTAATCACGTGCAGGTTTCATTAAAACCACAGGCAAGGAACCGCACTGAACAATGAAATCTATGTAGATAGATAAATCTGCGCATAATTACTTAAGTCATACGGGGTGTCTTAGAGTACAGTCAAACAAATTGTAGTCCATAATGGAAAAGTGTACTTTGTTGCATTTTACATTTAATTTCCTATTATAACCAAGTTCAACTCAATCAGGGCTTGAGAAAAAAAGCCCCGTGGCCTCACAGGTAGGTCAGGAGTTGCAGTGATCTGCCCTGCAGTTAAACTATTAAAAGAAAATGGCTGTAAAAGTATGAATCCAGACTACGTTAATTCATTTTATTATTAACATAACTGCTGGCTATCTGTGTGCTCATACCTAGGGCTGGATTATCAGATGGACAAAGAGGGCATATGCCCTGTGGTCACAGAACTTATTAACTTCCCTATTTGGTTAAAGGTACGCTGATTAATTGTATCTTTCTTGGGGAAAATATGCACCAATACTGCACAAAATCATTAGAAATTGAAAGATAGTCATTGTGACATCACCCGTTGGTTTGTGGACTGCCGTACTGAAGCCTTGAGTTCGGCGTTTTGGCCGTTGCCATCTTGGATTACGGCCGCCGCCATCTTGGCTTTTTGCAACCAATGAATGGAAGTGACCATATTTGGACAGCGGAGGACTGACGTGGAGACACCATACACGGCTCGATTAGGGTAGCGACCGGTCAATCTCAACGTGGCCCCGCCCTAAAGCATACTCCGACTTCATCTGTCCATGATTAGCCTCATGAATGGGGGTATTTCTTTCACAGTAGTTGGTTTAGGTTCCTTAGTTGTGTCAAAACTAGGGCAGGTTTTTGCATTATCAATCTTGTCTGGTCCACTCATGCAGTACTACCAGAGTTTGTGTGGGATTATTCTCACCTGAAGGTGAACTGAAGGAGTAAAGGCTTCAGTGTTGGACTAAACAGCTGAAGCTTGGTGTCAATGCACCTTTAATCTAAGTCTGCTCTGAAGCTTACTTCTTCTCTTTGATATCGCTTTATAGTCTGTTTAATATGCTGTAGTCACCACAATATATATATTTATATAGAAAATGTAATGCTTGAGTGAATACAGTAGATTAGCCAAATGCTTCATTGCATCCTTGACATTATAAAAATCTGAAACTTCCCCCTCCTCTTAATCCACCACCTTGTATGGAGTACTCGCTATAGGGAGTCTCATCCCGAGAGGCTGATCTCACACAGTAGGGTGTTGCTGGTTAGATAAAAATAGCACATTTATAACGTTTTGATGTGGAGCGCCAAGATGCCGAAAACATTCAAATCACCTTCTGCTAATAATCAATGCAATGTGATGGTGATGGTGGAGCAACGATGCCTCAGCAGGAGCACTGATCTAGCTTGCTCGTCTCTGTTAATGCAGCATAATGAACTCCTTTAAGATATCGCACTACTCTACAAATGCACTTCCCTCGCTAACGCCATTTTATTAAATACTGTAGATGTTAGTGTTAACATCTTGCAGAGAGGTCATCATTAACCCAGAGAAGTATCAGTCTCATTAGTTGTGGGAACAAGTTCCAAGCTGTAGCATGTCATCAAATATTACTCGGCTTCACAACTTCATGAACAGTTGGAAGAGATATTTCAGTCTGTAAGCTACTTACAGTATCTGCTTATATGCTATATGTTATATTTTCTTTAATGTGGCACAACCGGCGCATTCTTTCTATCGCCGGCTTCACATTTAACTAAAAGATAATTACACGAGACGTAACTCCATATGCTGACACACGCTTGCTTTATACTTACAGGCTGTTTTGCATTTTGGCTGGATGCGAGTTTTAAATTTGCTCAGCAGATGATGATAATGTGTACGCTGTCATCATCTCCAACAGCTTGCATTCAGACAATCATCACAGCCAATGCTAATGTCGGCTAATGCGTATTATTGATTTACAACTCTTCAGCGCTTGGTTAGTTTTATTGTCCTGATGTAAAATCGGATAAATATTCACATTGTGTTCATTCGGTTGGCTGTTTATGAAAACACGGCTGATCACTGTAACCACATTGAGCTGATCTGTGTTATGGGATGTTCTTCTGCTGAGCGGTTTGTATATTGAATTGTTGGGAAAAGCAATTTTCTTTCTGTCCGACTTTTGTCTACAACTATTAAATAAGTCACTTTATACTCATATTTCTAGTTAAATATGTTTTTGTTTTTGCGTCTTATCATCAGCACTTCCCTTTCTCTTAAATGTAAGCATTAATACAAAGTTCCTTTTCTGTTTTGCAGTCATCGTGGTTCTCTTCATCACACTGAGGCGGAGCAAGAAAGAGCCCCTTATTATCTCCGAGGAGGACATCCGAGAGAACGTGGTCACCTACGATGACGAGGGCGGAGGCGAGGAGGACACCGAGGCCTTCGACATCATCGCCCTCCGCAACCCGGCCGCCGCCGAGGAGCTCAAGTTCCGACGGGACATTCGCCCTGATTCGAGAAAACACTGCGCCCGGCCCCGCAGCCGCCGGACTGCGTCGGTGGAGCTGGACGAGGTGGACGTGCACGAGTTCATCAAGCAGAGACTGGTGGAGGCCGACATGGACACCAGCGGGCCGCCCTACGACTCCCTCCAGACCTACGCTTACGAGGGGCAGGGCTCACCCACGGGATCCATCAGCCCTTTAGACACTCCCGCCACGCAATCAGAGCAGGATTATAACTACCTGGACAACTGGGGGCCCGAGTTCCAGAAACTGGCAGAACTCTACGCAGAGGCAGACTCGGATGCGACGACCTAGTCTGTGATTTCACTGCTGTTCAAACCAAATCAGTTTGAAGTCCGTTTTTTCAAATTTCCAGTGAACAATATAAACAGAGATGCTTTCAAACTGTCCCCGGTGGTTTATAGCTGTTGAACTAAAATGACTACGCTACAATTTTTGTTTTGTTTTTATTTTCATTCCGTCACTTTGGATCATGGGTAAGTGTTAAATCAGATTTTGAGATGGAAGAACGACAATATGGGGAAAAGGGAAAATGATATTTTCCTTGGTGTATATTTTTTATTGCTCAATAAAGTCCTGAAATCCATATGAGTGGATATGTGGAAAAAAAAAAATTGTACATTTGTCTTCTTCATCCAAGAATGGATATAGCGTACAGCACGCAGTCAAGATGATCATGGTGGGAGGCATCGCCAAAGGTGTTTATGATTCACTAAGCAGAGGATGACGCTCAGCCATCCACATACACAATAATGACACCTACAGTGTTGCAATGTGTTTTGTGTCATTTCTTCCATGTTGACATTATCTATGAAACACACATTGAATTCAGCCATATTTCTTAACATATGCACATTTTTCCAAGCTTCTGTAACTGAATAGAGGCAAGGTAACTTCAGCATTACATACATCAGCTAAAGCGACCAGTGGGTATGATATGAAATACGTTAACCTGTGATCCTTTCAAAACATTTTTGCAGCAGACTTTTCTGGAGCCACAGAACCAAGAAATGCAGCCCTTGGTGTCCCGAAGTTTCCCCAGGATCTCCCCAGGATCTCCTCATGGTCAGCTTTCCAATTCATTAGGTGTCTGTGGGTTCCCTTTATAGGAGCCACTCTCTCTGCATCGGTTCATTAAATTGTCTGTGCGTGATGCTTTTTGCAATGGGACCGCTGAGGGATGTATACGTACACACTCTTAACAAGGTTACAGAGGAATTTGTGTGCACCTCTATACCAAACAGATTAGTGCATCAGACTTTACCAGGAAGTAGCACACTTATTGTCTTACTGTAATGGCTAAGTCAAGCTACCTTCACACCGCAAGCCATTAAAATGTGGATTATATCACATTACATCACGTATCAGATTCCAGTGTGAACTGCTCACGGTCCTGAACTGAAGTCAGCGTTTACGGTTTCATTTATAGGGTGATGTGCAGTCTCTTGCATACTGTATGTCAGGCCAATGTCCAAGCTCTTTGTTAGAAAAATATTACTCGACACCGGGTGTAAAAATCATTAAACAGGCATTTATTCTTGCAAGAAGGAAACAGAGTTGAAACACAAACAGGTTATGCGTCAAGTTGCTGCTGAAAGGTCTGTCTCTGGGTATCTGATATATATATATACTGAGGATAACACACAAGTGCGTTGGAACACAATGATTTGCATAAAGTCTGGACATCGTTTGGACCCGTTTCCTTGATAATTCTTTCTGTTTAAGGTCATCTTATCCTAATCACAAGACGTCGTGGTTGCAAATCAGCCTGCGTAAATACTGACATGCTCAACAGATGCATTATCCCCTCTTTGACGCCAGGTCACAAGTAGTTAGTAGCCTAAGACAACCAGCTGAAATACTGATTTAAGAAAGATAGCTGTGATACCTAATCAAAAAAACAGCTGAGACAGTTTGTGTGAAAAGAGGTTCACACAAAGTTTCACACGAGGGCACAGACCTTATGGAGGCACAGAACATTCTTTAGTTTTCCCAACACTCTTTTAGCTCTGTTTTGGTCTCCACCAACTCCTGATTGAACTGTGTGACTTTTTAGCTCCTAAATGATCGACTATGTTTACAAGCTAGTTGCTAGCTTTGTTTGCCCTCCATGTCATCCTGTGAAGGCAGCACCCAGTGGGTTTTCAAAACTTTTTCACTAAAAACAGCAAAGTTTTAGGTTGTAATAAAAAAACAATGTGCTGAAAGATGCTATAAAGCACAGGTGACATTATGTGGTTTCAAGACCTTTTTCAAATACAGAAAAGATGATCCATTGTTAATATATACTGTAGTTGAAGTATGGCTTTTTCCATAAGAGATCTTGTCTGAGATGTCCCATTTAAAGTACCATCAGTGACATCTTTGATAATACTTTGACATCAAATGGAAGGAACATCACCTTCCTTTACATCCATTAGGGAACAAAGAATGATCTCACATTCATTACGCAATACTTCTATGAGACAAGAAAACTAAAACTTCAAAGTGCTGTCATTTTCTCAACGGGGAGCTAAAGTAGCCAGTTCACCAACAAAATGGTACGATTTGCTCTCATTTTGTGCTATTAAGGATTTTTTTAAAACGAGGCCACGTCTGGGAAGTTCAGCAGCTGCCACGAATGGTGAATGTCATTTTGCAACTAGACTCCCCGGTTCTCTGAGTAACAATGTGCTGGGGCAGTAACACCAGCACTAACGTACAGGACTTGTATCACTTGTATGGTGCTTTTGTACAGGGTGATTAGTTATCTTCAACCAGCCCTGACTGGCTCCTCTGTGCTGTCATGCTCTTGTTCAGTGTTGGTTTGCGTCAGAAACGCGGACGATGGTCGTAAGAAAGACGAAGTGAAGATGATGAATATTTTAGAACCTCCACTTGTACCTCCCGACATAACAACCGTCTTCTCTACATAACAATCCTCCGTCTCATTCCTCCTTCCTCGTTTTCTTGCTCATTAATTCCTTCTGCTCGCAGAATGACTGTGTTTTTCTCTTTTTCACGATTGGATCGAAAACAGCAGAGAAATTCGTTCCAACATTTGTGAGGAGCCCGAGGGCCGGCCCACGGCAAAGGTCGTATAAGGCAGCCAAAGGCAAGCAAGGAAGTTCTCATACTGGAATTCAGGAGTTATTTCTTTGCTTCTGTTTCTATTTGAGGTTTTGTGTATTTGCATTTTTAAAGTGCATGGATTGTGTTAGATTTGAACCTCAATTAATGAATCATCAGATGAATGCAGCAGCAATCATTCAAACTCTCAGAATCTATCGTCCATCTGCCTCAGTATTTAGTCCCCGGTCTTCACACAGTAAGTCTCTCTTAGTGCGGCTGTCAAGAGAAACATCAACTTTCTAATGACTCCCAGGCTCCTAAAGTGTCTCTTTTTCCTACGGCAACAAATATTCGAGTACATGCCCTGGAGGGCTGTGTGTGTAAACACGTGGAAACTGGGCAGTTTTGGACAAAGCGAGCCTTACTTTGGGAGATGTGCTCTAAACCAGTGATTCTCAAAGTGGGGTCAGGGGACCCCCGGGGTTTATTACAAAAAGCCTCACAGTTCAACAGATATTTAGATCTTTAAATAAATAATGTAATTGTTCATAGATTACGTTCTCATCTATAACTCTTAGAATCTGCAAATTTGTTGAATTTATGTCTAATATATTTCTAATACATTTATTACAATGTACGAAATAGGCTACATCAAATTATTATAGGGGACATTCATGAAGGGGTTGTGAACTGCTGCATGGACAAACCCAAGTAATGTCAAGACATTATCTTAAAGGACCCGTGTGGGATATAGGGGGGGATCTATTGGCAGAAATTGAAAATAATATTAATAACTATCTTTGTCTTTAGTTGGTTGCAATGTGCAATCTCACTGCTGGATGCCGTTAAATCCTGCAAACCTTTGAGCACTTGTGCAATGTGGCATCACTCACCCCGGATGTTATTGAAAAAACAAAAATGATCAACAGATCAATCAATCATTTAATTAATCAGTATTATCCGGGCTAATTTTCTTAAGTATTATATAAAGTTTCTGTATTTTTAATAGGTTTTTTTTTGTTAGCTTTTTTTTAATAATCCATCCTCAAGTATCCAACAGTAATTTCAACATTGTAGCTCATCATTTTATAAACCCAGCATGACTTTTATACAGCTGATGGTGTTCAAGTCAATAAACAGCCCTGCAGCAGGAAGCCATTAACTACCTCCAACTGATTTAGTTGCACGATTATTTAATTTGACTATGTGTAAGTAAGCATCCTATGTTATGTGAAGGCACTGAGTTTGACCCCGAATGGACACCACGGTCTGTAGACTACACTGCGTCAGACTAATGACATGAAATCAACATGATTTCCTCAGCCGATGAGGTGCCGTTCTATTGTACAGAGCATGTTCTTATCATCATCTATAGACATGCAATCTGTAGAAGATAAATCTTGCGGAGACTAAAGCTTTTTTTTAAAAAAGGGAAAGAGGGAGATTTTTCATCAAAGACTGAAAAAACTAATCTCGATGCAATTAGTGACTTGTTAGGTATTAAGCATACGTTAGACTCAAAGAAGAAGTTTCAGCTGAGAAACAAACTCAAATATTAATTAATTTAAAAAGTCGTGTAAAGTTTCCAGAGTGCCAAATTGCGCTTTTGTACAGAAAATGAATGGGGAGATAAGTGTTAAGACACTGAGAGGGGTTTACATGGATTAAACCGTCACTCCCTGAATAAAGATTTCTTCCTTTTAGAGCCACAATCTATCAAAGCTCTGCCCATATGTTTCCCAGATAAGGCGAGGGGTAATATCTCACAGGCGCGTGTGGATACGTGTTGGGGAAATGGCTCCCAAGGTTTTATCTTTTGTCAAAAGAAGCAGAATGGATTATCTAAGAAAACACCAGCGCCGTTGCAAGTGGTGATGGCTCTTATGATGTTTTACTGCCTCCTTCACCCTTAACACCCTCATATCTTTGAGATGAGCAGCCATGCATCATACAGTAGACTTTGTTTACAGAGCATGCTTGCATACTAAAAACAGCTTTAATTGCACTTTGCATATCAGGTCAAGGATGGATGTGCATTCGTGTGTCTGAGTGCCTGAAAGGTAAGGGTGTGTGTGTGTGTTTTCCACTTTTTTTTTGTTTTTCAGTGGGTTGTGTAAGCTAAGACCTCAGGGCCGGCAGAGCCAGCCGGTGCTTCTTTTCATACTGTTTGAGGTCAGAGGCTTCTAAGAAGGTTCGAAGCTTTCACATAGAGTATGATTTAATGGTGGAGAGCTTTGCATATTATAAATGTTCATGACTCTGGAGTATGTGAAGGTGAATTGGACATAAAAGATCAAAGAGACTAAAAATCCTTTCAAATTCAAGCGCGCGATCATTAAAGTTGGTTTACCCCAAAGTTTAGGGGGCTGCAGAGGTTTGTTTTCTGTTGGAAAACTTCTTTGTAGAAGTTGGAAGTTGGAATTAAGATGCAAGATGGCTTCATCAGTGCCACATCTTCTTACACTGATGTGTATGACGGCTGAGAGGCCATAATGGAGGAACTGTAAGCCTGTGAATCCAGGCTTTGAAAACGAGTCCATTTAGAAAGCACAATTACATAATTCTGATTGCTGGAGTTTGTACATGCCTCCACTGCTTCCACGGGAAAGGGGAAATAAGGCTACCAATGTGCTGATTAGCATTTGTCTCCCCAACACGTCACCTCTGTGGTAATACATAAATTCCAAAGACATGAGAGAATAAACAATGAAGAATTTGAAAATCATGGTTCAAAGCAGCACCATTCAGTGAGATAGCTGACCTACATAGCCTTGAAAAGTTATGCAGGGGAGGAGTGGGGACAGGCTGCAGCAGACTTTCTTCCCCAGCGTGTGACTAATATAAAGCTACATCATGAAATTGAAACCTCTTCATGAATATGAGACGGCTCCATATGCTGTTTAATGCACATGGAACCACAAGTTCTCTGTCTCAACACATGATACAGTCATTAAGTTTGCCTGAAGAATTGTATTAATTTATTTTAGAAAACTTTATAAGTTAAATGAAGAGTGGACATCTTTTCACCCATTTTGTCTTTATTGATGTTTGCCTTGAATAATTTCCCAACATACTTATGCAGTGTTAAAGATAACAAGCTATGCCAAAGCAGCCTAGAAATTCCGTCTTAGCATGTTTCACATTCACCATTTTCCTTCATTGAAGCTTGAAAACTGTCTGGTGTCTTGCTGCACAGAGACGGCTGCAGACCACCGGGCCCCTCCTCTGATACGCAGCAAGTATTTTAATCTGAGTTCGAGGACTTTTCAGCATGAAGGTATAACATCTTCAAAGATTCATGTTTCACCCACTCTAGTTACCGTCCCTCACCCTACGGGTGCCCGGGAGATTTGTTAAGGTTGCATCGAGTGCCTTCACACCCACCAACACTGCCAGCCTGTTCTGATGCAGCACTGAGCCCAAAGCAACATAGCTGAGGGTTGAACCACGTGGCGGTGGAGTGTTTTTATTCTCCCGGGCACAGTTATTATACATTGGCTTGACCATGGTCCCCAAGATACATCCAACAAGAAAGCTTTGCCAGTCAGAGCTTCTAACTCTCTTCATACATGTGTTACGACTTTGGTACACGTTTACACTCACTGTCCTGAGAATGAGTTTTCTTTCACACAGCTTTATGCCTCAGGGGATGGTGTGCCACTGCTGAAAAGGCAACACATTCAGATACCTGAGTCTTTACACCAACATTTGGGTTTAATGCACTAATTAGTCCCTGATGTGGATTTCTCCTCGCATAAGCGCTCCAATTGAAATTGAAAAGTTCAAACTTCGATTCATCTACACAAACAGAGGACCTTCTACCGCTTCTCAGCAGTTAAGTTTTGTGTTGTTTTCTCATTGAAGAAGTAGTTTGGAAACTGTTGAGGATGCAGTTAGCTAATATTTTCTTCTTACTACCTGAATTATGATGCGGTTTGTTAATTTATAGACTGACTTTTGACCCCTGCTGTGTCACTATATATACCTGTATTGAAGCATTAAAGATTAAGTCTACTAATGACTAAATTCCCTCCCCACATTAACATTTTATTTTGACGAGAATTTCCAAAATCTAATCCGATACCCTTTAAGTACAAATGTAGTTCTGGAGTTACTCCATGAGTTTATAAGATAGCGCATGCTAGATATGAAAATTGCCAATACACGTGTGATGGCAGCTGCACATAATTTTCAAAGCTCTTCACCAACAAGAGTGTGGTGATATCTCCCCTACTGTCAACAACCCCATAAACAAAACAAATGATTACTGCGGATGAATTATGAACATTCACAATTCATCTAGGTGCTGCGGTACTTCCCGCTGTTCTGACAGGCGGAAGTCATAACCGTTTAAATGATTGAGTTTGAAATAAGCCGCATGCACTGCACACATGGCATTACTAATGGAACAGTATTCCCAGTGCTCAGCGGGTAGAATCATGCTTTACTGCACTGATTTTTAATGAGGAGTGTTCTTAACTTGATACTGATAATTTGGCTTGATTCAATTAAACATCTGTGATGGGAGGTTCCCACTACATACCCACAAGCCATCTCCCAGCCACTCCATCAAATTCCTTAAAAGCAACACCAGATAACATTTTAACCAACATACTGAATAAATAATGTACGCAGGGAATCATGCAGAAAAAGAGAAGCAGATTTACGGAGTAGGTAATCTGTGACATCACTCCAACGTTTCTGAAAGTCGTTTTGAAGCCTGGGGTTCAGCCAGGAATTACTTATTTGAAAGAAAGAATTACTAATCTGCACGCTGGCGTGATGAAAGAAAAAATGACCTGCTGG